GATGATGGCTGACACTTGATAACTGCCTGGCTTCAAGGAAGTCTTTGTATATAGAGTCGAGCACAGGCTCGTTAGCTTAGGTTTCAGAACAGTTATGAAACAGACTCAGATTCTTCTACTGAAATAATTTCCTATCGGGACCAATAATCTACAAGATCGCTAAAAATAACTAATTAAGTGCTGCATTTTGAACATCGTTCGAATTATCATCACTGAAGTTTTTTTTCTTGCAGACTGTAGGCTTAACTAAAATTGACTCCTAATTTAAAACCAGCCTTATCACGGATTCATCGAGGACGAAAGTGCTATTTCCCAGACATTCTTTCCTTATGATAATTCAAAAAAAGCTTTTTATTGCATTTTCTCATTTATTGATAAAAATAAATGAAATATTAATAGTTAGTGTAGGTGTTCTTGATCAACGGATTGCATTTAACAGCAAGAAAGTGTAACAACAGATAATTTTATAAAATTTAATTTTTTTATCAGGGATCGAGAATAATTAATTTTTTTTCATCAAGAAGCAACACCACTATTTTTAGCGCATTTTCTCATTTATGGTAAAAAATGCGCTATTCTGCTTGCCATGTCCGTCCGTCTGTCCGTCCGTCTGTCCGTGACCTCAAGTTTTCGTCGACGACAAAATGTGCTCTCTGTCACTCACTGCAGTGAGTACTGAGTTATATATTTATTCATCAGTGTGTAGTGGACGCCACGAAGGAGCTGTACAACCGCGTGAGGTCGGAGCTCCGGCCGTCCTCAGCCTGTCCTCATTACGTCTTCAACCTGCGGGATATGACACGGTCTGTACATAATAATAATAATTAAAATAATAATAATAATAATATTAATAATAATAATAGCGATTTCAGCGTTTATTTGGCCTGGTAACCTATGTGTACCTGTCGCCGATTCTTAACATCGCAGAACATTCACAGCTTGATGTAGTCTCGAACTCGCAACTCACTGCTACAATTCTGCTGTGCTTAACCGCCCGGCCTCCTTGCCGATTCTGACCAGAAACTGGCGCACAGAGCTGGGATCGAACCCGCGCCTCTCTGCGCCAATCTTGGTACTCTGAACTGTAACTACTAGCTGGGCCACCCTGCCACAGCGATGTTGATGTTGATAACGATATAGTGAATACTTTTCTGCATGAGTAAATTATGCTTGAAATTTACTAGGAATTTAAAATATGTCCGCCGTTGAAAGCCTGTAGTGAGAAAGCAATAATAATAATAGCAGCGACACATGACTAGTTATCGAGAACTTTTAAGTATGATAATGTCTCTGGAGGTTTCATGCTACCAAGCCCCGTCAATATCAAACGGCATTACAGATTTTTTTCTATTTCTTATTTGATGTGTTTGCCGTATTTCCTATGCTTTCGACTGTCATTTGATAATAAAATATTCTAAGCATTGTATCACCACGCGGAAGTAGAATACAGAGGAAGTGAAATACAAAACTTATATTTCACAATATAGAACTTCTCGGGAGTTATTCGCAACGTTTAAGTTCTTCAATCTTTTGGAGCCAAGGTTTAATGATTAATAATTTCGTGTTATGAATATGGTTACTGGTCTTGAAAATTGCAATGTTTGAAATATTTCAGACTTGTGATTGTACATCGTACGCGGCATGAAACTATAGCTCGTGCGGATGATGTTGGTAGACCAAAAACTAGATTTAGCAAATAATAATATATCAAATATAACGTAACTCAATGATGTGACTAATTATATTCTTAAACTGCTTCAGAGCGCTGTAAGAAATTGTCATTCATTTTGTATTTAGATGCATAAATGGGCTGAAGTGTGCTGATGCTGGTGTTGCTGATGGTACGTGTTGCTGATGGTACGTGTGGCTAATGGTGCGTGTTGCTGATGGTACGTGTGGCTAATGGTGCGTGTTGCTGATGGTGCGTGTTGCTGATGGTACGTGTTGCTGATGGTGCGTGTTGCTGATGGTACGTGCTACTGATGGCACGTGTTGCTGATGGTACGTGTTGCTGATGGTGCGTGTTGCTGATGGTACGTGCTACTGATGGCACGTGTTGCTGATGGTACGTGTTGCTGATGGTGCGTGTTGCTGATGGCACGTGTTGCTGGTGGTACGTGTTGCTGATGGTACGTGTTGCTAATGGCACGTGTTGTTGATGGTACGTGTACGATTTAATTTGTTTGCAAATTGATGATTATCTAATTGATGATAAATTGATGATTATCTAATTGATGATTAATTGATGATTATCAAATTGATTAGATTGTAGAACATAATGTAAAGCATTGCTGGCGCAGAGTGCTGGCAGGGCTGCTGCTGCTGCCCCTCTCCCGCCTCGACTCCCCCAACAAGTTGATGAGGCTCTGGCTGCACGAGTCCATTAGGGTCTTCTGCGATAGACTTGTGGGGGACGATCACAGGTGACAGATGTCATGCTTAGTCCTTTTTGATGTTTTTTTTTATATTTATTATTATATTTTTCACCTTCACAATACTAATAATGTAGCAAATTCAAAGTACCGGGTAAATATTAAATGATGGCAATGGCCAAAGGTGATGGATGTCATGCGTAGGGATTTTTCGTTGTTTTTATATTTATATTTTTTACCTTCACAATACCAATAATGTAGCTAATTCAAAGTACCGGGTAACTATTAAATGATGGCAATGGCCACAGGTGACGGACGTCCTGCTTAGTCCTTTTTCATGGATTTTTTATATTTATTATTATTATATCTTTAACCTTCGCAATACTTATGATGTGACTAATCTGAAGTATCGAGGAACTATTTAATGATGATAATAAATCCAAAGATTGTATCGAAATGACTCTAACTGCAAGTTTGAGTATGGATTAACTCAATATTTGCTTCTGCAACATTTTTATTTTTAAAATTATTGCATAATTTTTTATCATCACAGAACGCAACGACATTGATCAAATTTTGAAACAATTAAGGATTAGCAATAACGAAGGTTATTATACGCAATCACAAGTTATATACCGTTAAACATCATGTAAAATATAAAAACTAATGTCAAAGACGTACAAAAAGCGGAGTATAAACTCGACATGCAATATAATGCATTATCTTCTAATTAAAGTAGGCAAAATTACCAGATTACCATTTATTTTACAATTGCGTACTTGAAATAACGCTCATTAAATATTTCCGAATTGTCTTGATAATCGTCAATATTTAAATATTTCTTCCTTTCCCCTCATAATACTAATTAATGACAAAAAAAAACTATTAAATCTGTCGATAAATTAAATTGTCACGCTAGGCGCTACTTTTGATAATCGTCAATATTTAAATATTTCTTCTTTCCCTTCATAATACTAATTAATGTCAAAAAAACTATTAAATCTATCGATAAACTAAATTATCATGATAGGCGCTACTTTATGGAGCGGTGTGGTGAGATCGGCTTCCTTTCCCTTCATAATACTAATTAATGACAAAAAAATTATTAAATCTATCGATAAATAAAATTATCATGATAGGCGCTACTTTATGGAGCGGTGTGGTGAGATCGGCGAGCGGGCGTTCAGGACGAAGCTGAGCAGCGCGTTCACCCGCGTCAGAGCTTCGTGTGACGTGGGGCAGCTCGGCGCCAGCCTCGTCTACGCCGACTTCCTTCATCCTGACGATGACGGCAAGACCTATGACGAGGTGCGTGGTCTGACATTTCGTAAAAAAAAAACAACATCGTTTTAATTTCTTAAAAGAAAGCCTTATCGTCTTAAGTTAGAATCAACGTTCCCATGCTGAATATCATAAGACTATACTAAAACAACACGTTATTGAATGTAAAACATGTCATATAACATATAATAACATGATATATAACATATAATAACATTTTATTTAAAATACATGCATAATAACATGTGATAAATGATATAATAATATTTAAAAAATCGGATGACTGATAGTCACGTTAAATAGTTGCTTGTATCAGAACTGAAAATATTGCGAAATTTTTCAAGATGTTCTTGATTTCAATGGAAGGTCCCGGATGTGTCAGCGCTGCGACCCGCCCTAGACAGCTACCTCGCTGACTACAACCTGGGCCACAAGAGGGAGCTGACGTTGGTGATGTGTGACTACACATTACTTCATGTTGTGCGCCTCAGTCGTGTCTTGAAGCAACATGGCGGCCACATGTTGATGTTGGGCGTCACTGGATGTGGAAGGAGGAGTGTTGCCAAACTGGCTGCCTTCATGGCGGGATGTGATCTCATTCAGGTTGACTGGTGAACTTTGTTGCGATCAATAATCAATGAATTTGATAACCTTTATCATCAACCAGATTCTTGGATCACAAAATTTAATTTTGGCTGATATTTTTCTGTATAGGTTCTTTAATTATTTATTTTATTTAGGTATTAATTTAATGAAATAAGATGTAGCTTTTCTCGCCCAGGTGGAGCAGAGCAGCAGTTACGGCTTCAGTGAGTGGCGCGAGGACCTCAAGAGGCTCCTGATAAGGGCGGGCGCTGAGGGCAAGCGTACCCTCTTCCTGCTTGATGACACGCAGGTGACCTGTTACTGAGGGGCAGGTGACCTGTTACTGAGGGGCAGGTTAACTGTTACTGAGGGCAGGTGACCTGTACTACTGAGGAGCAGGTTACCTATAACTGAGGGTTAGGTTACCTATTACTGGAGGGCAAGAAACTAGAGAATTATAATATATCCTTTCACTCATCTCTCCATTTCAGTATACAAAATTTTAAGGCCATAAATTACTAACCAACCAAATCAACGTTCAACGCACCAAACCTAATCACTTATCTGTTAGGAATAGAAATACAATGACATATAAAGAACATAAATAAAGCGTAAGTCCGCGACGTGGTCATTACGGCCCATAGGGGAAAACTTTAGGTCGTTGGGGTAAAGATCAAACGACACGGGTTGCGGGGTATTTAAGCGGGATGGCGGACTGCGGCAGTTAGTAGAGTACGAAAGTTTAGAGGCAACCGACCGTTGTGTTTGTCTCTGGAGCGCAGGGCGCGACCAAACTGATGTCGGTGCAGTGTTGAAAGACGACCTGCGAAGTGTGAGAGTTTTTCCTTACCTGAAGACAACACAGTATTTGAAGACGACCTGCGACGATTGGGTGCTTTTCTTTCCTGAAGAAACGTCCTACAAGAAGAAACCACAGTGTTTGAAGACGATCTGCGACGATTAAGAGCTTTCTTTTCCTGAAGAAACGTAGTACTAGAAGAAACCACAGTGTTTGAAGACGATCTGCGACGATTAAGAGCTTTCTTTTCCTGAAGAAACGTAGTACTAGAAGAAACCACAAAGTTTCAAGATGACCTGCGACGATTGAGGGCTTTCCTTTCCTGAAGAAACGTTCTATAAGGAGAAACCACAGAGTTTTAAGACGACCTGCGACGATTGAGAGCTTTCCTTTCCTGAATAAACGTCCTATAAGAAAAAAAACACAGTTGTTAAAGACGTCCTTCGACGAATGCGAGTTTCCCTGGCCTGAAGCAAACGACGTCCTGCACAGAAGAGACGAGTTACATCCTCGGAAGTATCGACAGCTCCTGAAACCAACGATCAGCGAAATAAGAAACAAATTTCATCCACGGAATTATCGACAGCAACGAGACTGGCAGAATTTGATTCCCGCGCTACCTTCTCTCCAAACCCGGTGCTGTACAATTTGGAAATTCAGATACTAGTTTCCAGTGTAGTCATTGTGTCTAGTTCTCACTGGGTTAGTGTCTAAGTTACCATTTCCGTGCCTGTTAGCAATAGTGTCTAGTTCTATTGTCTCATTGCCAAGACGCGGGGCTACGTTACAGTTTCTATAGGCAGTCCTGTGCCCGAATCCTTTCCACGGGTCCCAGCTCTGCAACTAGGTGTCGGATATTTTCCAATATGTAAGTGTTAAGATAATTATGTGTGTCATTTATCTCTATTTTTGTCAAGTTGTTAGCTGACCAGCTTGTTGAGAACCTAGTCACGCGCCTATTAAGCCACTCGGTGCCAATCTGACATAGGAAATTAGGAAATCTCGAACCATAACGTAAAGTAAACTGAAGAGTAATAACACCGATCGATCATCAAAAGAAACATATTAAGATTATATGTATATCAGTTTCATCCAGTCCTAATACTTTTTCTTATTCTTGATTGTATCATTATGTCCACTATAATGGATTGTGTTTGTTGGCGTTCAGCTGCTGCAGGAGGCGTTCACAGAGGACGTGAGTCTGCTCCTCAAGAGCGCCTACATCCCGGGACTCTTCAGCGCCGAAGAAAAGTCCGTCGTCGTCGACAAAATCCAGGCAGCCGCCAAGGAGGAGGTGAAACTTTTCAAAACCGATAAACAATCGAATAATATTGAACAGATCAACCATCCAAAAATGTTGAACCGATCAAGCATCCAATCATACAGAATCGATCAACCATTCAATAATGTGGAACCGATCAACCATCCAATAATGCAGAACCGATCAACTATCCAATAATGTTGAACCGATCAACCATTCAATAATGTAGAACTGATCAACTATCCAGCAATGTTGAACCGATCAATTATCCAATAATGTAGAACCGATCAATTATCCAATAATGTTGAACCGATCAGCCATCCAATAATGTAGAACCGATCAGCCAACCAGTAATATAGAACCGATCAACCATCCAATAATGTTGAAAATTCAATCGGAAATGCTCGATCAATTATTAAATGAATTTCAAAAATTAGACGAGAACATTAGGCAGCCGTTATTCTAACTTGTCGCAGTGGAAAATGTTTCAGAAGTATTATAATCATGGACGTTATATTGATTTTAGGTATTTATGTTCTGCAGACCGGGCCTTCAAATTTAAAAAATGTTTCATGTCATCATGAAAACATTTCGCTAAGCAGAGAGGTTGTTTACTACGAATTTGTTGATTATTTTCTACGGTCATAATTGTCTTCAGAATTGTGTAGAGATGGGCTTTCGGTACTTCGAAACTAAAAGATAATTACGGGTAAATAAAATCTTGCCAAGTTAAGTTTTTCGAATCTTCTATAATGAAGTTAATGAAATTAGTTCCACAACCTTGAATATCTTACGATCTAGCTTTACTATTTGCCTGTTCATTGTGTTCAAGTTTCTATATATATAGTATTACGATGAGTATAGACAACCGCGTTAACAAGCTTTACTTCCCACGTAATGCGATCCCTAAATATTCTGGAATTTTTATCTCTACCAAGTAAAATGTTGAATCAATTCTTGAGTTCTCATTCTTGCGGACATTTAATGACATATTTTATATTGAATTTTTGTAACCTGTTACGCGACCGCTGTAATCAGTCTTCATTTTTGCCAACTTCTTCTTTACCTTTTCGCCATAGAATTCAATGCCGGAATTTTGATCTGTTCTTCATCTTTTTCACGGTACGGAAAATTTTCTTGATATTTCTTGTCGTTAAGATATATTTTTTTGTTATATTTTGTGCCGCAGGGTCGGAAGGTTGAGGTCTCCACGGCTACGCTGCACAAGCTTTTTGTTGAGAGGATCAAAAGTAACCTACACGTCGTCCTGACCATGTCCCCGGTGAACGCCTGCTACGAAGAGCGACTACGCACCTTCCCGGCCCTCGTGACTTGCTGCACCCTCGACTGGTGCGTAGTGTGCCAGCTTCACCCTCGACTGGTGCGTAGTGTGCCAGATGCACCCTCGACTGGTGCGTAGTGCGCCAGCTGCACCCTCGACTGGTGCGTAGTGCGCCAGCTGCACACTCGACTGGTGCGTAGTGCGCCAGCTGCACCCTCGACNTACTCGAAATTAGAACCTAATTTGCTCGAAATTAGAACCTAATTTACTCGATATTAGAACCCAATTTACTCGAAATTAGAACCTAATTTACTCGAAATTAAAGTCTGATTTACCCGAAATTAGAACCTAATTTACTCGAAATTAGAACCTATTTACTCGATATTAGAACCCAATTTACTCGAAATTAGAACCTAATTTACTCGAAATTAGAGTCTGATTTACCCGAAATTAGAACCTAATTTACTCGAAATTAGAACCTAATTTGCTCGAAATTAGAACCTAATTTACTCGATATTCGAACCCAATTTACTCGAAATTAGAACCTAATTTGCTAGAAATTAGAACCTAATTTGCTCGAAAATAGAACCTAAAAAGAGCCTAATTTTTCGTGACCTGAAATTATTTCGTCAAGCTTACATCATTTCTATGGCTTCATCGGCGGCCGTTACTCTAAACATTGTAAACGTTCCATGTTCCGATTGCTGATATCATGGTGTCCGTGGTATTTTCAATACAAATTTTCATGACAATGTTTTAAAAAACATTTATCATGCACACCTCAGCACTTATTAGCACTAACTTCCATGCATTTATTAGCACTCATTCTCATGCACTTTCAAGCACCTGGCTTGGTTATCTTCAATTCTTTACTTGCAAACGCCAGTGCAATAGACGGTGACAATATTCCAATGGAAATATTTTTAAATCGGGAAAAAATTTTGCGCACTCCACTAAATTCTTCTACCGGCAAAAATTTATTTCGACGTATAGTCCACTGTTCATTAATTCAACTGGAAAACATTCTATAGTTTTTAAGCGGCGTAAATGATATTTTTATTTCTAGAATAAGCTTTCGAAGTTAAAATTGAACACCTTTTTTTATTTGTGATTTTTTTCAGATATTGTTTCAATTCACGTAGAAGAAGAAGGCCTTGTGTTGATTATTATACTATTATTCATGCGCATTTTATTATTTATGCTCAGGTACTTCAAAAACCACGGCCGTCGCGTCCACATCACATCAACATCATTCTTGCATATGATCACAACCTTCCGGCAAATACTGATGCAGCAAAGAAGCTCTATTGTTAACAAGAGGGACAGGTACGAGTTCAATATAGTGATTACAACTTATTTCCCCCCTTTCGTTTAGTGATTACAACTTATTTTCAGTTCGTTTAATTGAAAATTTAGTCAAGCATTTCAAACATTGTTTGAAGATTAGGAATAATGATACTTCAATTTATTTGTTATTGATTTTCTAGAGTCCTTTTCATTGCTTCGGGGACGGTGCTTAAATACTTCTTTCCTGTACACTGTTCTTACTTGGATGTCATTTTATCTGTTTCAGGGGCAGCCAATTACTTGAAATTTCTAAGGCCAAAAACCTTTCTGCCCATGGTAATATGATCATGATGAATTTGAATATTTACTGGGAGTTCATGGCCTGATATGTAAAAATGCTTCCAATTCAAGATATTCAACAAACCCCTATACCAACAGCGTTTTAATTTACTCGTCCATTTAGAAAGTTTCTCGATGTTTTAGAGTAGCGAGTCGGGACTTGGGATGGGCAGCAAGACTGCCTAAATCATTAAGATATTTTTCAGTTAAAAATATCCTTCCTTTTAAAAAATATCCTTCCTTTATGGTATTTCAGATATGTTTGCATAGTTACTAACTTTTACCTCCCAATCCTAAATTCTAATAAACTATGTATTATATTTTAAATGACCGGAAGAAGTGAACGGCTAATCCGGAAATTCTGTCTTATAATACCGGCAGTGGCGCAGCAATGCTATTGACAGATTCTAACATAATTTATTGGGCTTTTTATTTTAATAGACTAAATTAAAACACTGATAAATATTAAACCGACTGCACTTATTCAAGACAGACAATTTATACGAGGCTAATCCGGTAAAGTCTGTCTTAATACCGGCAGTGGCACTGCAATGATATCGACAACATAATTTAACGGGCATCTATTTTAAGGTACGTGACTGGGCTGTGACGCAGCAGTGCTATCGACAGATTCTAACATAATTTAACGCGTTCTTTTATTCTAAGGTACGTAACTGGGCTGCAGAAGCTGCAGGAAGCTGAACAGCTCATACTTGAGCTGCAGATTGAGCTGAAGAACCTGCAGCCTCAGCTGCAACAAACTTCCTGCAACACAGAGGCTCTCATGATCAGGATAGAGCAAGATACAGTGATTGTCGAGAAGAATAAAGAGGTAGGAAATTTATTTCGGATACCGAATATTTATGAATCATAGGTTAATATTCAAAAATAATCAGTCCCTGCTCTAGTTAAGACTGTTATTAGACGTAAGTCCTCTAAGCATTTACAAAGAGGTAGGAAATTTCTTTTGGATATCGAATATTTACGGATCATAGGTAAATAATTATACTGAATATAATGTCCGCAAAATTTCACAATTTATCTCTTGAGCATAGTTTTTAAACCATTCAATACCAGACGTGGTGAAGACGAATTATTTTTATACGTGAAAATTTTGACTAATCATGCTTCCTACTTCAGAACGTTTCTAACGCATTTTCTCATTTATGGGAAAAAGACGCTATTGTGTTCGTCATGTCCGTCTGTCTGTCCGTCTGTCCGTCCGTCCATCTGCTTGACCGTCTATTCGTCCGTGACTTCACGTTTTCGTCGACGAAAAAATGCGCTCTCTGTCACTCACTGCAATGAGTACCGAGTTAATTTTTTTTTCATTTGTGTTAATGGTTTTGTTTCCATTTCCAGCTGGTGGCCGCGGATGAAGCGGTGGCTAACCGCAAGTTCGCTGACGCGCAAGCCATCAAGGATGACTGCGAGCGGGAGCTGGCCAAGGCTGTGCCGGCGCTGTCAGCCGCAACGCTGGCCCTCAATACCCTCAGGCAGGAAGACGTACGGGTGGTCAAAGCCATGAAGAACCCGCCTTTTGGCGTCAAATTGGTACGCGTGGATGCTTGAATTGTTGACGTTTTCAATATATTTTATTGATATTACGAGGCAGGAAGACGTACGCGTGGTCAAAGCCATGAAGAACCCGCCTTTTGGCGTCAAATTGGTACGCGTGGATGTTTTAATTGTTGACGTTTTCAACATATTTGATTGAGATTATAACAGTTTCCTTGAGCTAAACTTGTTGATGTAGGAACTTTTCAGGGCGGTGATTAATGTTTGGGGCAAAAAAAATAATCGGCGTTGATTATTATGAGTAGAAATTTCAAATGTCTCTATTTTACTGTTATATATTATAATTGTTAGCAAGTACAAAAAAGTGATCACCGTTGTTTATTATGAGTTGAAATTTCAAATATGTCTCTATCTTATTGTCATATATAATATATTTGTTTGCAAATAAATTTTAAGTTCATTATCATTAAGGAATATTTATGAGTTGTAAAGAAAATGACGAGAGTTTAGGGTTAGACTTGTGGCCGGGACTTATTTATGGCAAGCACCGTACAGTATTTGCGAGTAATAAAAATTGGCGAAGTTCAATTAGTTGAACTTCCAATTCCAATCCAATTCCAATATGCTAATACATACATGCATGCTCGGTAATGTATTTATTAAAACCATTCAAACTCTGAGAAATAATTTCATTAAACATTAGTGATTGGCAAGCGATTGACTAGTGGAAGCATGCAATGGACTTGTCACTGAGTTTAAATTTTTTGTATATATTTTGTGTGATTGCAATATTTAGGATTAAAAAAATCAAAGTTCAACAACAGGAAAATAGTTAATAATTATAGTTTTTACCAGGGAAAATTGTAATACATTTTATCGATAATTAGAATATTTCCATTGCCCGAGTTGTTAGCAATATTTCTGTTCCAAACAAAATTTTATTCGGTCTTTCCATTAAGCTTTTAAATGACCGGTGGTCACTCAATGAATGACCAATGAATGATCAATGCTTTTTCTAATTATTCATTCCTGGACAATGAACCAATGAATGAATATGACCAATGAATGACCAATGCTTCTTCTAATCATTCATTCCTGGACAATGAACCAATGAATGAACATGACCAATGAATGACCAATGCTTTTTCTAATTATTCATTCCTGGACAATGAACCAATGAATGAATATGACCAATGAATGACCAATGCTTCTTCTAATTATCCATGTCTGGAGGTGCTGGAGGCCGTGTGTGTGATGCTGGACGTCAAGCCGGTCCGGGTGCCCGATCCTGCAGGATCGGGCAAGCGGCTAAAGGATTTCTGGACGCCATCACAGAAGCTGCTGGGGGACCTCAAGTTCCTACCCATGCTGATGGAGTACGACAAGGACAACATACCTGAGAAGACGGTGAACGTCGTGCGTGAGAAGTGAGAAGGCTAACATGTTTCATTTGACTAAGAATAGTGAGAAGGCGAACATGTTTCATCTAACTAAGAAAAGTGAGAAGGCGAACATGTTTCATTTAACTAAGAAAAGTGAGAAGGCGAACATGTTTCATTTGACTAAGAAAAGTGAGAAGGCGAACATGTTTCATTTGACTAAGAAAAGTGAGAAGGCGAACATGTTTCATTGGATCAACTTTTTTTGTAGTTTGTAACCCGCCCACACAAGTTTTTTATATATTCATATATAATAAAAAATATTTTAAAAAATATAAAATATATTTTTCATATGTATTCATATAGTTATATATTCATATGTATATACTGTGTATAATATTAACAAGTCTTTTTACGCATCTACTACATATTTAATATTAGTCATCTCAAAGTTCGTTAGCTTACGGCATTAAAAACGTGAACGCAGAAAGAAACACCTTCTCACTCCAATATTTGTTGAAGTTCCGTAGATGAAAGAATGTAATTATTCTTGTTAATATTGTGGTGGAAATTGAAGGCGTTTCAATCGTGAAATTTGTCTTTGCTTCACTTACAGTTTAATTGATCAAATGGCATCTAAATTATGATTAACACTTAAGGTAAACTCTAATAGAATAATTATCGTTTATGATAACTGGGAATTATTACAGGGATTTTTGTACTTTAAGTTTATACTAGCACGACATTCACGCTAATAAGATAAAAATAAAAATAAATAATATAACAATAAACTTTCAATATGAATGATTTAAATAATTTTACAGATATTACAACCACCCCGACTTTGACCCTAAGAAGATCCGTTCGATCTCCGCCGCGTGTGAGGGCTTGTGCCGCTGGGTGCGAGCAATGGTCGTCTACGATCAGGTCACTTCCTAGCTCAATAAATTATATTTAATGTACTCGTATATCATCGTAATGTAAAAATTTTCTTTGACAAATTTAAATTTAATTTACTCGTATATCATCGAAGTATAAAAATTTCATTACACAAGTTTAAATTTAATGTACTCGTATAACATCGTCTTATTAGGAGGTGTGGGTCACGGGTGTCACGGGTGGAGGTGTGGGTTACGGGTGTCACGGGAGGAGATGTGGGTCACGGGTGTCACGGGTGGAGGTGTGGGTCACGGGTGTCACGGGAAGAGGTGTGGGTCACGGGTGTCACGGGTGAAGGTGTGGGTTACGGGTGTCACGGGAGGCGGTGTGGGTCACGGGTGTCACGGGTGGAGGTGTGGGTCACGGGTGTCACGGGTGGAGGTGTGGGTCACGGGTGTCACGGGTGGAGGTGTGGGATCTAATGCACTTATTTTTGAGGTGAAGCCAGTGCGAAGGCTGTCAGCCACCAGGCAGGATAAACCAAGCAGAGCAATGAATATGATTTTTCACAGCTAAAATTTTTTTCCTGTAACGAATTATTCATTTTACAGTGTTCAAGATTCCAGAATCTAGACGAAAAATGTAAAATGCAAATGATATGGATGGTTATTTGAGAAGTTATATTCCAAGGGAAATATTCATCGAAGTATACGAATAACTATCATTCAATTGTATTTTGTAAAATCAAACAGTGAAATCCTTCCCATTCAAAATTTACGGACTCGGCAGCTTCTGATTTGGATTGCCGGAAGCTGGGGCGACTCTAAATTTTGCTAGGGTTATAGGTTCTTTTTTTATAGGTTCAAGATTGGCCGAAGGATTCAAGAAACGAAGCCTTATTTCGTTTTCCAACTTGTCTTCAATGTCATTTCTTATCCTCAATGTTTTACTGCGAACAGGTGATTAAAATCGTCGCTCCTAAAAAAGAAGCTTTGGAAGCAGCAAACCAGGAGTTGGCAATACAAAACAGCAGACTGGAGGAAAAGAGAAAAGAATTGAGGGAGGTGAGAGAACTGGCCGCGACCCACTGAACTGTCCAACAATTTATATTTTATTTCTCTAAATATTTGCCGAGTATTTCTTATACAAGAAGATGATTGAAATAAGCGTAGACAACTAAAAATTTGACAATTGATAACAATCGCAAAGAATTTATTGCGAATTGGTTACATTATTATTATTATTATTCTCAATTTAGAATAAATATTTATTTATCACTTGATAAAAGAGGAGTTGAAATCGAAACGGTTTCGTGAATTTTTTTTGTGCCTTTCGTTGTGGGCTAATTTCATTTTACGCCCGCCTGAGAATCAAGTAAATTGAATAATTATTATTTCGTAGGTCACTGATAAACTACAGAGCTTGAATGACGAATTCACGAAGAAGCAGAAGGAGAAAAAAGACTTGGAAGACAGCATCGTAAAATGCGAAGAAAAAAGAGATCGTGCTTCGCGAATAACAGGTGGACTTGGTGGAGAGCGAGACAGGTGAAGAACTTGGGTCTAGTTAACCATTTAAGAATTAAAATTACTTATTCAGACAATGCATCGGTAAAAGTTTAAATTCGGTAATCGGTAATCTCCTTTTCTCCAGTTCATAATAGATGAGCGAGGCTGTGCCATCTGTTTATATTCTATTCGATCTGCAAGGCTGAGCCTTCTCTCTACGCCCACAGATGGAGCGCAGCTGCCGCTGAACTGAGTGTCAGTTTAGAGAACATCCTTGGAGACTCTCTGCTCGCCGCTGCCGTGTTAGAGTACCTGGCGCCCTTCACGGTAGAGTACCGCCACGTGAGTACCTGTGGCACCCTTCACTGTAGCACTGTAGAGTACCGCCACGTGAGCACCTGGCGCCCTACACGGTAGAGTACAGCTACGTGAGTACCTGGCGCCCTTCACGGTAGAGTACCGCCACGTGAGTACCTGGTGCCCTTCACGGTAGAGTACCGCTACGTGAGTACCTGGCGCCCTTCACGGTAGAGTACCGCCTCGTGAGTACCTGGCGCCCTGCAATGTAGAGTACCGCCTCGTGAGTACCTGGCGCCCTGCAATGTAGAGTACCGCCACGTGAGTACCTGACGCCATTTACGGTAGAGTACCGCCAACCGCCACGTGAGTACCTGGCGCCCTTTACGGTGGAGTACTTACACGTGAGTACCTGGCGCCCTTCATGGTAGAGTACCGCCACGTGAGTACCTGCATGGCGCCCTTTATGGTAGAGTACCGCCACGTGGGGACCTGGCGCCCTTCACGGTAGAGTACCGCCACGTGGGAACCTGGCGCCCTTTACGGTAGAGTACCGACACGTGAGTACCTGGCGCCCTGCAATGTAGGGTACCGCCTCGTGAGTACCTGGCACCCTTTGCGGTACAGTACCGACACGTGAAAAACTGAATATTCACAACCCTTCTCTACTACTTTACATCCCTATATACTCGTGACTTAATTATCGTTATGTCAGCACCTGACAAGATTAACGTAGCACCACTCATGTACGCTCAAAACCAGGGGCCATACTTTCAAAATTCGCTAAGTTAACCTAAGTATTTCCGCTCTATTTTCTTGTCTATGATTGGTGGATTTTGCTTGAAAGGCCGTCAAAGATTGGCTAATGAACTTACGATCTCTTTACTTTTTTTTAAAGTATGGCTTCTGATGCACTAGTTGAGAATTGCAGAGTCTATCCCTTCTAGCGAAGTTGTTTTATATCTTCTACGTGCGTCATCAATCCCTTCTGTAATGTAGCGCACACTGGAATAAACACGGAAAACCACGCTGCCGACCATGAAGACGGAAATCGGCCAGAGAAGAAAAATAAAGCCAGATTCTATTTATTGTAGCAGTTAAATTGTAGCCAAATGTCTGCAATTAACTGTTATGATCCAGACTCACCTGCACACTCAAGCGTATAAATCTGTAGATCGTCATTACAGAATGGCAAATTCACTCAAATTTTATATACATAAAGCATCGCATGTTTTGGACTCCATTCACGCGTCAATTTGTGCGCCGAGTGGTTTCATTATAGGAACTTCCCTGCAGTTGCGTTAGCTTCGTCTAGCGATTATTTTCACATATCATTCTCTCGGTCTCGGACATTTCTGTCTGACTTACTTTCCCGAGCTTGAGCTCACGTCACACATTCTTGACAGAGTCAACAATAGTTTTGAAACTTTCATTTATAGCATATCATTCCACTAATTTATTAATGTGTCCCTTACACAACGTTTTAAGCAGACCTGTTATCGGCAACATTGTTGATGTCCATTGCATAAAAATGTACTATAATAATTATTCTTGTAGTAATTTCAATTGTTCACGGAGATGAGGTTGATCCTGTTTACCCCTGAGCAGGAGAGCCTGGAGCGCTGGAGAAACGACTGCGTGTCGCTGGCCATCAGCTACAGTCCTGTGTTCTGCCTACAGCGTCTCTTGGCTGATCCTGTCGAGGTAACTGAAAACCTTTCTATATTTTTGTGTATTGTGTACATTTTTTGTATATTTTTTGGTATATTTTGTATTTTTATATATTTTATTGTATATTTGGTATCCTGCACTACTTGTCGAAAAAATTGTAAGATGAGGAATTAAGATCATAGTTCGGTATTACTCTGTACTTTGTTTTAACGGTGTAGTTTGAGAGAATAAAGGTTGCACTGTCATCGCAAGATCAATTGTTAAATGAATCCTTCCTTAAACATTCCGTTCCTTTAGAAAATATATTCTATATAAAGATATACATATATAACGAACATAATTATAAAAATATGTATAAAAATAAAATTTAAAAATATATATAGAATAAAATTGAAATAATAGCGTGGTAGTGTATTATGTCACATAATATTGTATGTGACCTAATATTATTATGTATTATATGATGTCACATACATAATATAATACATAATAATACATACGTGGTTGTGTATTAGTGTTTATCTTAATGCAAAGGTACGATCTTGGCACCTCAGCGGACTGCCAGTCGATAAATATTCCGTCGATAACGCCATAATCGCAACATCGTCGCCAAGATGGCCGCTCATCATCGACCCACAAGGTGGGAACAGAGCCAAAATAATTCATTGGTAGAATTATTTATTTCCCTTAAATCATATGTCAAAATAAGTCGTTATAATAATTATTTATTTCCATTAAATCATATTGGTTCACTCAGAAATGATCTGGTCTTTAGATTTTTTTGCATCGGTAAAAAAATAATTATTAAAAATTTATGGTTTGACGGTAAATCAGTCGTTATTTGACAATACGAGTTGTCTATAAGCTCAATCAATAAAAAAATATAGGAATGCCATTTTAATTTTATCTGCACAAATGCTGTAATTTTCATAATATACATATTTTATATTCTCAAACGAAAGAAAATCGCTCTTTCAGGAGAAGCTGTGCGCTTTATCAACTCATTAGGGACTCCAAAAGATGAAGTAAACCCGTCAGAAGGCTTAGAAGCAGACCAAGATGACGGCCTGAACATGAAATCCGACATCGAAGCACGACAAAATCAAGGCAATTTCGATGCTGAAGTCTCCTCTGAAGTTGCCACTCCCGCCAGAAGTGCCCGGCCGGTACAAGTGATAGTCTGTCAAGCCACCGACTCCACCATGGTGGATAAACTGGAAGCAGCTCTCAGGGACGGAGCTACGTTACTACTGGAAAATGTTACTGACTCGATCGATCCTGTACTAGGTGAGACCTTGTCTGCTTTCAAGCTTTTTATGGAGTCGTTCTGAAACTATGAGATATTATAGCTGATTTTTTAAATTAAAAACAAATAACTTGGCTGTTTTACCCAAACTCACGAGCTGTTATAACCCTGCCCGATTCTATCCAGGTAAAATCACCCTGATTCTACCGGGTCGCATTATTTAATCGGCAACATATTAACTATAATGCAAAGAAAACCAGTTAGGCCCACTCAAAATTTATTTTAAACTCGTGCACCTATTTGGGTTGTGTTTTATGATAATACTGTGTTTAAATTATTTTTGCTTTTGTTAAAAAATTTGAAATTCCGAAAGTTGTTACCGTATTCGACGATATTAAAACATCAGCATTATTATTATTTATTTTTGGTAAAGAAATTTTAAAAAGAGCATTTATGTCATTCGTAACTCGGTAGATTGCAATATACCATTATTTAGTTTCCTTATAGTTTGACTAAACTTGGAAAACCAGACCATTAAGTACATAAGCTCATTCGTCTACCAAACACGAAACCTCAAACAAGGCTGCATTTTTTCGTGGCTAAAATGCATCAAGATGAAAATGACTATTAAAAGCCCTACATTGAAATCGTTCAAAATCAACTTAAAAGATGGTATCCCAATATCAATAGATATTATCCCGATATTCGGAAGGTGAAAAAATTTACCACTAAAGAAGTCTGTCGTGTGGCCCTACTTAATCTTCCATGTTTTCGTCATCCTTTCACTTTCACGGTCTTTGCTCTGCTCATAATTCCCCATAATCTGTTTACAACTGGCGAACCGAAAGTATAACCCAGTGGTTAAAATTCAGAGTACCAAGATTGGAGCAGAGAGGTGCGGGTTCGAGCCCAGCTCTGTGTGCCAGTTTCTGGTCAGAATCGGCAAGGAGGCCGGGCGGTTAAGCAAAGCAAAATTGAAGCAGTGAGTTGCGAGTTCAAGCCCGCAACAAGCTGTGGATGTTCTGCAATATTAAGAATAGGCGGTAGGCCTGCGGCCTACTAAACGCTGCCGCTATATATCGCTGTACCCTCAACAGACCCGGTGCTGCTGCGACAAACGTTCAAGCAGCAGGGAGTGGAGCACGTCCGCATCGGTGACGCGGTCGTCGAGTTCAACTCGCACTTCCGCCTCTTCATGACCACGAGGCTAAGCAGTCCTGACATCCCGCCTCATGTTGCCCATAAGGTGGGTCAAAACTACGCCGCTAAGCAGTCTTAACTGTCGCTCATTGTGGTCCATAAGGTGGGTCAAAACTACGCCGCTCAGCAGTCCTAACTGTCGCTCATTGTGGTCCATAAGGTGGGTCAAAAACGCAACTCAGCAGGCCTGACTGTCACTCTTTGTGGCCCATAAGGTGGGTCGAAAGACGCCGCTCAGCAGTTCTAACTGTCGCTCATTGTGGTCCATAAGGTGGGTCAAACTACGCCGCTCAGCAGTCCTAACTGTCGCTCATTGTGGTCCATAAGGTGGGTCAAAACTACGCCGCTCGGCAGTCCTAACTGTCGCTTATTGTGGTCCATAAGGTGGGTCAAAACTACGCAACTCAGCAGGCCTGACTGTCACTCTTTGTGGCCCATAAGGTGGGTCGAAAGACGCCGCTCAGCAGTTCTAACTGTCGCTCATTGTGGTCCATAAGGTGGGTCAAACTACGCCACTCAGCTGTCCTAACTGTCGCTCATTGTAGTCCATAAGGTGGGTCAAAACTAAGCTACTCAGCAGTCCTAACGCACTACCTAATTGTGCCAGTAAAAGGTGAGTCAAAAGTAATTAACTGATCAATCCGGTATCCGTGTCGTATTTCCTATAGGGTCAGAAATTACTAGGATTATCTTTTTACTATATTGGATGCACATTTTGAGCTGTCGTATGCACGTGCTTCACTTTGAACCTTCCTCGTATCAAGATAAAAACAATGAGAATCATTTTGCAGGTGAGCTTGCTGAACTTCAGCACCACCGAATTGGGCCTCGAAAGCCAGCTGTTAGGCCTTGTGGTTGGCGAAGAGAAACCTCAACTCGAATACCGAAGAAACCAACTTCTTCTGGAGACCGCCAAAAATCGGAGAGACTTACAAGAAACTCAGGATGAAATCCTTCGAGTTCTCTCTACGGCAGGAAAAAATCTTTTGGAGGATGAAATGGCCATTGATATCATGGCTTCAAGTCGGGCTTTGTCCAAGGAAATTGCTTCCAAAGAAGTGACTGTGAGGGCGACGAATGAAGAGATCGAGAACTCAAGAATAACATACCGGGATGTGGCCAGTCACGCTGCCCGAGTATTTTTCTGTGTGGTAGACATGAGCTCCGTTGATGTCATGTACCAATTCTCACTGCCATGGTTTCTCAAACTCTACCTCCAGGTATGCATGAATAAAATACTAACTTTAATTGTTTTAATCAAATATTCGTTTTCACAACCCTTACACATATAATTAAAAGCAAATTAAGCCAACGGAAGAAATTAATGGGATAATTTCAAGAAAATTATAGGTTGTGAATAAAATTGTATAAAAAATTAACTTCAACTTCTGTTATAAAATTGCGATTGGGATGAAATAATCAAAAGATTTATATTGATCTGGATGCCTTTTAATGACTTTTACTGAATTACATGGTCTAATCAAACTAAATTTGTAAAAAAAATATCTTTACAGCAAGAGACGAGAAAAATGAAATGTCGGTTTAGAATTGAAACTGACACTCATTATAAACAAAAAAATTCTGCCGGAAAATTAAAAAAAAATGCAATAGTGCATTTTTTCCATAAATGAGAAGATGCGCTAAAAAGAAAATAATATAACATTTAAAATGTATAATGGCGTCTCCATCGAGTTTTATTATAAAGGACACACAAAAGTCTATTGTAAAACGATTGGAGTAACATTAACGGTTTCAAGGAAATGCAAAATGTAATGAACTAAACTTACTAAAGCAAACTCACTCTAATTCTGCTTTGTTGTCACACTATAACACTTCACGGCTGCACTCATTACTACATTATTGCAGGATTCATTGTCAACTAATTATTTTCTCAGGCTATCCGTGAGTGCGGAGGCTCAGATGATCGCATCCACAGCATCAACGGGCGGGTGACGTCATCCGTCTACGCTGCGGTTAGCCGCTGTCTCTTCGAGAAGCACAAGCTGCTCTTCTCACTGCTGCTCGCTGCTCGGCTGTACCTTTTAAAAGTAGGCTTCGCTATCATCAATAATAGACAGAAATGCCTGAAGAGCTAGGCATTGTGCAAAATATAATTTTTTGAAACATTCCTCCATTTTCATGAAAATTACTATTTATATTATTTTTTAATGCGATTATTTATTTGTATGAAAAATTTTTGGCTAATGACAAAAATGAGTTTGAACTTCACGAGGCTACCCAGTATCATAGTTCTTTAATGTTTTCAGCACCCGGCTTCGAAAGACACTTGGAACTATTTGCTTTCTGGAGGCTCCAGAGCACTGGAAATTCAAACCAACTCCAATCCCTGCTCGAGTTGGCTTCCCGACACATCGTGGCGAAATGTTTTAGGAGCGGCAACTTTTCCAAGCCTCGCAACTCTGCAGCATCATCTCAAAGAAAACAGTGACCAGTGGCAGAAAGTCTACGGATCTTCCTCACCTCACAAGGAGACCTTACCCGAGCCGTACGCTGGTCTCGGGGCTCTTGAGAAACTGGCTATCATTAAGTGCTTGAGACCCGACGCTCTGACAGATGCTGTGCAAGACTTTGTTTTGAAGGTGAATGAAGCATTTAAAACTTATGACTTCGATACTAAAGCCCGATTTGTGTCATATTGAACATTCCGACGCTACGCTTTTCAATTGTTGGAGAAAATATGTTTAACGGAGGTAGTGTACACTATAAGCGGTGTTGGTCCCAGAGCAGACTTTTACTTACTGATCACAAATGAAAGAGAGGGTAAATAAAAATCTTGTATGAAGTTCACTTGCAAGTTCGGAGCTCACAAAATATGTTGCGGTAGTTGCACCTATACAACTGCAATGAAACTAGAGAACGTAGAATACGGGACGAATGTAATGCTAAACATAAATATAACGCAATACTAAAAATATTTATGACCCCAAGACATGTGTACACGCAACCTAATGTTCATTGTTGCAGCTCGTAAATTCTAATTAAATCGTCAATGAGCAACCTACCATAAGTTATTTAAATTGTTACAGCTCTCGTGCAAATCTTGTTGAAGGCCTACTTTCTGATTTGATGCCCCACTCAGTTTTTCGGAACTTAGGCTATATAGCCTTAAAGGGATCCTCAAATTCTAGCAATTAATAATTAGGATTTGAACTATGACCCTAATTCTTGTTGTTCGTGACAAAATATCCTGCGACTGCGACGTCCTTTGAAAGTTGTTTTATACATTGTGAGTTTAACTGCAGGTTGTTTTCAAAAAGTCAACAGTAAAGCTTCATTTTTTTCTTGCCTTACATTAAAATAACAAATGGAAAACAATATCAGCCGAAAACAAAATTAGTATACAATATCAGTCGCTGCATATCACATTTAATTTTTCCAATCACACCATAGAAATTCTTAGGTGAACTAAATGTAATTTATATTTTGGGGGTCACGTAGTATGCGATTTCTGGCAGATATTGGGGGAGGACGCCCTCGAAGTTGGTCCCACCTCCATGGCCAGTTTGCTCGAGAGCTCCACGTGTACAACGCCCCTCGTGCTGCTCTTAGCTCCGGGGTCTGCACCGCTCAAGGAGATCCTGAGACTGGCGCAAGAAGTCGACGTCCCCGATGACTTGGTCTTTGTTTTGTCCATCGGGCAGGGGCAGGTAAGCGTAGTTTTTTTTCTGTTATATTTGTCGCGGTAGTTTCCGTTACACAGATTCTAGTTTACACAGATTCCGGTCAGCGTCTCGTCACTTTGTCTTGTCCATCGGACAGGGGCAGGTAAGCGTGGTTTTTCCAATGATATTTGTCGTGGTAAGGCGGTATTTCTAACGGGAATTTTCAATACAAATTCCGTTTAGCGTCTTGTCACTTTGTCTTGTCCATCGGACAGGGGCAGGTAAGCGTGGTTTCCCCAATTATATTTGTCGCGGTAAGGCGGTAGTTTCTAACGGGAATTTTCAACACAGATTCCGGTCAGCGTCTCGTAGATCATCCGGCAGATTTTATTATGTATTACTTTATTGTTCACCGCACGATCGTCATTTATTTCGCTTCCGAAAGCTGCAAACGTGGTATCTCTTTCTCATGGCAGCATCTGCGTTATTATCAACGTACTCCTTGTTTGCGGGTAAATAAAAGACACTCAAAATAGTCAAACAAAATTATCTTGCTTGTTTTAGGGATTGAATTTAATAGAACTTCTGAATTATTCCTTTTTATGGCACTGAGGTTGTAAGGTACATCGGCTCAGAAAAAAGTTTTACTTTTTAAAGGGTATTAATAACTTGGTGAATTCCAGTTTTTGTTAGATTAAATTGAGATTTTGCATAAATGCCGAACAATCTCGTGCAGGAAATTGCAGCCGAAGACAGTTTGCACCGCGCTGCAGAAGCCGGAGGCTGGCTCGTGCTGCAAAACTGTCATCTCTCAGACAAGTCGTGGTTGCAGCGTTTTGCAATGCTGTGCAATCAAGTATGTCTTAACAAAACTACGCATGGATCTTTCCGGCTTTGGATGACGAGCTATCCTTCCGAAGTTTTTCCTGTGACGATACTCCAGGAGGGGGTGAAAATGAGCTGCGAGTCTCCCTGGGGCATGCGAGCGAATATTTTACACACTTTTAATTCGTACCCCGTTTGTGATCAGGATTTCTACGACTCTTTCCGCATGTCCCCCAAGGCTAAGATTTTCAAGCGTCTTCTCTTTGGACTTAGCTTCTTCCACGCGCTGATTTTGGAGCGCCGCGCCTACGGTGCGTTAGGGTGGAACGTTCCTTACCAGTTTACTGATGCTGATTTTCGCATCAGTGCCTTGCAGCTCAAATTCATTCTCGAGGAAGCCTCAGACTTGCATTCAACAAAAATTGATAAGCCCGCATGCAGCCCCGAAATACCCGGTTCTTCATCTGAACCAAAAAATTCTGAAAGGTCATTTTCAGGTATTGGAAAAGTTGCAAGTGAAACAAATGAAGTTATCGGAGTTACAGCCAGCGAAACAATTGAAGAATCTGAACCTGGCGACTTTGATGTACGACCGCAATTGGACGCACTGAAATACCTCGCTGGAGAATGTAACTACGGAGGAAAAATAACTGATGCTAGAGACAGGCGTCTCCTGCATTGTCTTCTGGCTAAAGTGTACAACGAGGCTGTTTGTTTCCAAAACGGGTGAGCTTAAATTTACAGTAGAAGCAAAAAGTTCTATTAAGGAATATTAATTCTAGAAACAAGTTTTGAAAACGCCACGTCTGTATTTAAACAGATGGTCATAAATAATTGATTTGTTGACAGGATGGTTGCTATGCATGAATTAATTTGATTACCCATCCAACCAGCGTGATTTTACTCTCTGAGCAAATGAAAAACCACAACTTTAGATTATAAAGTTCATTGCATTTTACTACGTTAATGAGGAATGAGCCGTGTCTATATCTCCATTGAAGTAATCATGGCGATGCCCAGCAATTATTATGTGTCATTGACTCGCATTTTAATACTTCCTGTTTAAAGTTCAATACGTTAATCCTAAGTCCAGTCTTCAGATTAAATTCATCACCTTTTTTAGCCTGGTGAGTGGTGAGATTAAATACTACTGTCCTCTACCAAAAAAGTTGTTTTTCATTTCTGAATGTTGAAGAATACCCAAATCATGATGGCTTTGCCAATACATGTTATTGGCCAAAATATTGTTGTATTTTATTGATATTAGAATAGAATAGAAGTGTCGGCGTTGAAGAAATATGCCCATGGCCTGTTGCCGATTCTTGAATTTTTCGTGACTTGATTCATAAGGGATCCGGCCTTTTGAACCCGATCTTTCCATAACTGACGATTGATTGAGATAGCTGCTGGACTTTTTGCCTGGTGCTGGACTTATTGCCTGGTAATTTTGTTTCACCTAAGAGTGGTGCTGGGTGAAGGGTTCACGGTACCCGATAGCAGCAACCTCCATGACGCCATCGCGCATGCGTGGACGCTCCCTGTGATGTCTGGAGCAGCAGTGCTTGGGCTTCATCCTGACTGTGACACCGTCAAACGCAGAGATAAAATCAATCAAGTATGCAATTATTTGATTTATAATTTTAATTACAGAATTATTATTTGGCGGGCAGGCACTTGATTTAAGTTTTATGAAACTAGGCCAAACCATTTTCGTCTGACAAGGAGTGAAATAAAATTGTGTCGGCCGCACGGTTGGCCAATTATCATTTACTTTTTTATTGAATTTCTAGCTGTTATCGAAGTATTTTCATTCATTTATACTTAATTCTTTTGAAGAATGTAGTTCATTTGTAGGCTCATTATGTCATTTATTATTTAAATTTGAGTGAAAACTTTTGCTGCCAAAAGCTCTTCGAAAGCATGGCGGCTCTGGAACATAACTTCTCGAACTCGGCCTGCCTTGAAGAACAAGTCGAATCCGCTTCTGGTCCACAAAAAGGCTCCCCCAAGCTTTGCTCCTCTGGAACAACTGTCGGTGATCCTCTTCTGGGCACCATATCTGACCTCCTGCAGCGGCTACCGGAACGTCTTGATGGCCTTCCTGAGGACGATGATGCGATGCTGAGTTCGGATGCGGACAAGAAGACGTCAACTCTCTTGGCAGAGTCCATGAGGCCAGTTCTAAGACAGGTGAATCAAGTCGTACAGTCTAGTGCTGATAAGTTGTTTTACGAAGTGTTAGTGGACCAAAAGTTATTTTGCATCTGCTGAATAAACGAAAGACTCAGTTAAATTTATTGCCTCAGAGAAAACCGTTACAGAAGGTTTGAAACGTTCTTGTATAGATTTTGGAAAACAATAACGCTGCCGGATAAAAAATTTTCATAGAATCTTACAAATTAATCTGCTGCAATATGTAAGGTTGTAGATTTATGGTAAATTAAGATTTAATGTCTTAATTAATTTACTGTCCGTGATCTTGTATAATTAGTTAGAACTTGATCAATATTTCAATAATTTCCAAAAGCATTCTGTTGAAACTGTTGATGCAATTATCTTTCATACTCCGTTCTTTGTTGTCTTAGGAAATTTCCCGCTATAACGAACTACTTTCTGCCGTCCGCGCCGACCTGTACCGCATGCGTGACGCCTTGAGTGGTGAGACCGCCATGACACCCGCCGTGCAGGCCTCCGTCGACGCCCTCAGGAGAGGCGAGGTGCCGCCTGCCTTGCTCCACAAGTCCTACCTCTCCAAGAACAGACTCGCGCCCTACGTCGACAACCTTGAGAAAAGGTAGTATGCTGAGGACCTTAGCAAGAGGTACGATGCGGACCTTGACAAGAGGTATGTCGGGACCTTGAGTAGAGTTCCGTTGAGGACCTTGGGAAGAGATACGTTGGAGACCGTGAGAAGAGGTACGTTTAGGACCTTAACAATGGGTACGCCGATCACCTTGACAATAGGTACGTTGAGGGTCTTGAGGAGAGTTCCGTTGAGGACCTTAGCAATAGGTACGTCGAAGGACCTTGAGAAGAGGTACGTTGAAGACCTTGGGAAGAGATACGTTGAGGACCTTGAGAAGAGGTACGTTGAAGACCTTGGGAAGAGATACGCTGAGGACCTTGAGAAGAGGTACGTTGAGGACCTTGAGAAGAGGTAGGTAGAGGACCTTGAGAAGAGGTACGTTGAGGACCTTGAGAAGAGAGGTACGTTGAGGACCTTGAGAAGAGGTACGCTGAAGACTTTAACAATAGGTACGTCGAGGACCGTGACAAGAGTTCTGTTGGGAACCTTGAGACAGTGTGCGTCGAGAACCTTGAGAGAAGTTACGTAGGGAACCTTGAGAAGATATACCGCAGGGTACATTTATTATTTTCTTCTCTTATTTTTTTTGCAATGTTGAAAATGTACTTTGGAATGAGGTTAAATGGTTTCTGGTCTTCTAATTTAAATTTTCCCTGTTGTTTATCCGGTATTTCTAAATTAATTTAATTCTTAATGTAGACATTTTCTTCGCTCAGACTCCAGTTCACGCAGCAGTGGGCGGTGCAGGGGGCGCCGCCCGTGTTCTGGCTGGGGGGGCTGGCGGCCCCCCAGGGTTTCCTCACAGCCCTCCGGCAGCACTTCGCCCGCGCCCTTCGTGCTGCCATCGACGATGTCTCCTTTAGCTTCACCGTTCGTGATAATGCTGATATATTTATCGAGAAACGATATTAGTTTGAATAAGAACTTTTTATTATAAATAAATTTATTAATTGTTATCTAATGATTGATTGTATTTCTAAAGACAAAATGTCATCGTATTAAATGTATTAAATAAATTCATATATCATTTTGAAATGAAAATTACTTCCTCCGAATCACAATTTAAAGGAGTACTTCTATTTTTACATATTCTCCAATAGGTACCATTAATACTAGTAATAATCAATTCATCATACCTAAACAATAAATTTTGATTGCAATATTGCTAACCGTTTCCTTCCTCCATGGGCAATACACAATACATTATTAATTTCGGCCAAACTTAAAATAACAATTTTTACTAAAAATATTGCTTATTCGATTCGTTTTAAATGTGTATATTATGTTAATTATTATGTATTATACTAATTATTGTATAAATATTAATTATTAACATAATAATTCATAATCTATCATTAATTTCAAACAATGTTAATATAATAATCATTGCTTCATTATTTCATTTCTATTGCCTTCAATAATTTTATTCAATAAAGCGTATTTTGTGTTATTTTTCAGGTCACCGACATTGAAGTAGAGGACATTGTCTCCCAGATCTCCTGCGCGTCGTTTGCCGACAAATTAACGAAGGTCGGCGTACTTTTTGAACGCTTATTTCTTGTACACTTCTGTGGCTTTTTTTATCCTGAAAGCAGTTTTTTGTAACGAAATTTTTGCCAAGTAATCAAATTGTTCAAAATTCTTACTTTTAAGCTCAAGGAATTCTTTGTACGCGTATTTTTTGTACACTTTTGTGGCTTTCTTTATCGTCAAAGCAGTTTTTTGCAAAGAAATTTTCGTCCCCTATAATCAAATTGTAAAATTTTTTTACAAAAAACTGAACGAGTATTCGCGTTCTGGGTCTTAGCATGAAAATGTAATTAAAATTAAATTACAAAGGATTAACGCCTTGCACGAATACAATTATTACTGTCAAGAATTTGTCAACTAGTAAGTTTTTTATCTTAACTGCAATATAATATAATATAATATAATATAATGTGATATAATATAATATAATATAATATAATATAATATAATATAATGTGATATAATATAATATAATATATTACACTCGGCAGGCCGCCGCCGCTGGACGCTCCGAGGAGCCCTCGCCTCGGAGCTGCGACGGCGTGTACGTTTGGGTGAGGCGCTTCAATTATTATTTAATTTAATATAATTCCTATAATTTAATTGCGTTTACTTTAGAATATTATCGACGGAATTTTATATTTTGATTTAATTATTACTTGGATCATCAAGCGTGTGCTTCAAGCACTTATTAATTGAGTTATGCTGGGTGATTCAAGACTATACGTAATAAAGTTTACTCTGTCATTGTAGCGTAAAAAAATTAATCCATGTGTTTCATATCAGTATTTTTCTCTACAGAAAGATGCATGTTTTGTTCTTATTTTATCAAAAAAGAGGTATTTCTTTTCTTATTTTCCTAAAAAATAGGCATGTTTTTCTCATATTACTGAACTCTAAAGCTTTTTTCGTGTCAATTCAACTTATAATCGTTTTGCAGAGATTATGCGAGACTGTTGGTATCTATCTAATCCAGGCCAAAACTCCTGGAACATTATCGTGAATGCACAATGAAAAATATCATCAATAAAATCCTTAACACAAAATCATGACAAAGGAATATAACTCAGTACTCACTGCAGTGAGTGACAGAGAGCGCATTTTCTCAAAATCGACGAAAACGTGAAGTCACGGACAGACGGACGGTCAGACAGACGGAGAGACGTACGGACAGACAGACAGACAGACGGACATGGCGAGCACAATAGTGCATTTTTTCCAAAATGAGAAAATGCGCTAAAAATATAACTCGGTACTCACTGCAGTGAGTGACAGAGAAAACGTGAGGTCACGGGCAGACATACGGTCAGACGGACGGACGGACGGACATGACGAGCACAATAGCGCCTTTTTCCATTTGTGAGAAAATGCGCTAAAAATATCAATTGAAAAAAAGTTTTAAGCTGACATGAACTGCAGGGCTTTTACCTGGAAGGCGCAAAGTGGGACAGGAACCAAGGATGCCTGGTGGAGCTGGACGCTGGGTGCGGGCGAGGCTTCCTGCCTGTGATGTGCATCCTACCGCGTCTAGGACATCAAGGATGTCCGGACCCCGAAGTTGATACAGTGAGTACATCTGTGATGTGCATCCTACCGCGTCTAGGACATCAAGGATGTCCGGACCCTGAAGTTAATACAGTGAGTACATCTGTGATGTGCATCCTACCGCGCCTAGGACATCAAGGATGTCCGGACCCTGTAGTTGATACAGTGAGTACATCTGTGATGTGCATCCTACCGCACCTAGGACATCAAGGATGTCCGGACCCTGAAGTTGATACAGTGAGTATATCTTTGATGTGCATCCTACGTGCACAAACTTACTTCGAAGTATCCGGCCGCATTTCAGGCAGGGCTTCCAATAGTAGTTTTACTTGATCAAATTCAGTAAATTACCGAGGCTGAACAGTCATTGAACAATTACCGAGTCCCAATGACTGATGCGGCGTCCCGTGCATCAAACAGTATGCAATTCACAGAAGCTGGCACAGAAGTAATATCGCCAAGTCACACGGGCACCAAGTGAGTTGCTGTCGTGGAGTCATGCAACGAACTGCCGAAAATTCTTGATATGGAGGTGAAGTAAAGTAGCAGGGGCGAGATTAGTTCGTCATCAAATGTTCAGGTTGTAGCTACTTTATACGTCACCCAGAATCAAGGAAGAGAACAAAAGGTTACGGAAGCTATGACCTGTAATTAATCAATTTTAAAAATATATCATAGTTTTTTTTAGTGTGTAATATGTAGTCTCTTTTAATGTTAATTTGATTGTTAATTCCTCTCATACGATTGAATTTCTCAACAGCCGATCTCGACAGTCTCGCCTCCCATGTACGAGTGCCCGGTGTACCGCACCAGCGACCGGCGAGGTCAGTTGTCCACCCTGGGCCACTGCACCAACTACGTCTTCGACATCACCTTGTCCAGTGGCAGTGAACACCCGCACACCTGGGTGATGAGGGGCGTGGCCGCCCTGCTGCAGCCTTAAACCGTTGCAGCAGCAACCGTTTCCGGGCCTTAAACGTAGTGAAGTCCCGTAGTGGAAACGAGCCTTAAACGTAGTGAAGTCACGTAGTGGAAACGGACCTTAGACGTAGTGAAGTCACGTAGTGGAAACGGACCTTAGACGTAGTGAAGTCACGTAGTGGAAACGGACCTTAGACGTAGTGAAGTCCTGTAGTGGAAACGGGCCTTAAACGTAGTGAAGTCCCGTAGTGGAAACAAACCTTAGACGTAGTGAAGTCCCGTAGTGGAAACGGACCTTAAACGTAATGAAGTCCCGTAGTGGAAACGGGCCTTAAACGTAGTGGACGTCCCGTAGTGGAAACGGACCTTAGACGTAGTGAAGTCCTGTAGTGGAAACCGACCTTAAACTTAATGAAGTCCCGTAGTGGAAACGGGCCTTAAACGTAGTGAAGTCCCGTAGTGGAAACGAACCTTAAACGTAGTGAAGTCCCGTAGTGATCCCGTAGTGGAAACGGGCCTTAAACGTAGTGAACTCCCGTAGTGGAAACGGACCTTAAACGTAGTGAAATCCCGTAGTGGAAACGGGCCTTAAACGTAGTGAAGTCCGTAGTGGAAACGGGCCTTAAACGTAGCAAAGTCCCGAAGTGGAAACGGGCCTTAAACGTAGTGAAGTCCCGAAGTGGAAACGGGCCTTAGACGTAGTGAAGTCCCGTAGTGGAAACGAACCTTAAACGTAGTAAAGTCTCGTAGTGGAAACGGGCCTTAAACGTAGTGAAGTCCGTAGTGGAAACGGGCCTTAAACGTAGTAAAGTCCCGAAGTGGAAACGGGCCTTAATGACAGATGCCAGTCATCTGTGACTGGCATCAGACTGACTGCATCAGTCATGACTGATGCCAGTCATCTGTGGCTGGCATCAGTCATGACTGCATTAGTTATGACTGATGCAGTCAGCCGTGACTGGCATCAGACTGACTGCATCAGACACGACTGACTGACGCAGTTGCCGACATCCATAACTGTAGATATTGAAGGAGTTTTATGGCTGTGTAGCAAAAGTTTATTAATTAATAATAATCCAAGACATCATCGAAGGAATTGATTTAAAGCGAGTGAGAAATGAACTTGCGTGAAGGATGGTTGAAAAGACAATAAATATTACCAAATGATTATCAGGCTGAAATTGAGTGTCCAGTCGTCATCAGATGAGCATTAGCAAACTATAGGATTAGATGCAATTTGAAAAATTTTAGTGCGGTCATCGTCGTTTCTTTCGTTCTCGGTCCGCAATAACGAACTCGCTATTTTCCTTACCGAAACTTCAGCCTAAATCCAGCTCATTTACTAGTAAAGTTCAAGAAGTTTTAAAAGTTTACTATATTTTTCAACCTCATTCTTTAACTATAAAGAAGTTTCCTCCAAGTTTAACAAATTTTAAATTTGTAAAATTTATTGTTTTAGCCATTTTGCCAATATGGTCCTCGTTGAAATTCACGCACTTAACGATGTTAAATTTGTCTAGATGACGTGCAAATTTTGTGATCGGAGTCAAATGAATCCAAGTTAATTTTTATTCATGTTGACCCAACATATTTGGTTTTTCGGTCGGTTTCGTTACAGTCAATGTTCGAAGGCTTGGATTATATGTGTAATCCACGCGACCGCTGTAGAGTTAAGCCGTTTTTTATAATTTTAATGAAACGTTATGCGCCTCTGACATGCAATTAATTCTTCTACGTTGAAGTAACGCAATAAAAATTAATTTAATGGATTTTTCCTCAGATGCACTGTTAGAAAAATTACCGTTAACGGTATTACCGGCGTTTCAGTGGCCGGTCGACACGTGAAAAGAAACACCGTGTCGCCGTTTCTATTCTAATTTAACACTAGAAATCCATAAAACATCTGATAAAAACGGCGAAACAGTTCATTTTCACGGGGCGACCGGCCGCTAGAATGCCAGTGGGACCGTTTTTTCTAACAATCTGCGTACACTTCGCAGGTCTTGCTAAATTCAATGAATAAGTCTACGATGCTATAGCGTCTTTAAATAAACGAAGGGTCGCTGCTAAGACACGTGCTGTGCAACCGCGTAAATTAATTTATTGCTTTGCTGGAGGGAAGAATCTTCTTTTGTAGCTGGAAAATGGAGGATTTAATTTTTATTTATCGTTGCGCGATGTGGAGAAGCGTTATGTCCATCAACAAGATCCCTAGCTATATTAATAAGCTTCGTTGTTTTCGTATGTTTTATTAATCAAAAGCCAAAACAAATTTCGTTTTCAGATTCATGATAAAAAGTTCAATTGAGACAGCTTTCTTATTATTTAAAATAGAATGTGTAATAATGTTTTGTTTTTACAATCTGCAATACTATTGCAATTTCGAATAAATTTCTTCATAAACGTTAGTGCATGCGTGTTCTCATTCATGATTGACTCATTCAACAACCAGTTCATTACAGTGCTTCGACATTACAGAAGTAAATATAAAGTGTTTACAAAAATCCTATTCAAAATAGCTATTATATAAAACACGTATGAATTAAGGGAGCTTCATACAGCATATATGAAAGGCTTTAGTTGGCATACATGATACAAATAATTAATGTTGGTGATTGGAGAACATAAACTGTAGCTGAAAACTATTCTGCTGAAAGTTCATTTCAGGCATTACAGACATTAACTGCAACCAAGTTAATTTACTGTTAGAAATAAGCTACCAAAAATCCTGTCGAAGCCATGTTGTAGAAAATTCGGAATGGAAGATTCATAAAAATTTATCATTTTAGAAAAAACCATAAATTTGTTTTAAATTCTAACGTCGATGATTTTATTCGTGACTTTGAAAAAAAATTCCTAAAGTTACTAATAAGATATTCAAATAATTTGTAGCTCGCATATACCCGCGCTTTCTGCCAATTGCAAGTTGCATAGTAATAAATATTTGAAGAATGGTGTCATTTTCGCAACCATTAACCCTTCGGATATTTTTAGTTCTGAAATAAATTTTTTTCCACTACAACCGTTTTAATTTAGGTCATTTATGTTAACTGAAACTAACTTAATAGTCTAAAGTTAACATTAAAGCTTTGTCTCCTTAATCAAGTTGATTTACACAAAAATTCAATGCGATTAAAACTATACGATCCATTACACGATCTCCATTACACTCGACATATGTATATAATAGGCACCCGCGGCCCCATGGACTGCATGCATCATCTACTGTAAAAGAATCTACTCGGCATCTAAATGCAACTGATTCCATCATCTTCAGTACTAATAAATAAGCGTACTAAATTAGGATACAATAACAATTATTTTAACAGACCACCACATGGCGATGTATCCATGACGCGGAACCTTCCTCTAATGACAGCAGAGTTCTTGAACGAGTGAATTTTTCATCTATGAACATGCATAGTCCCGAGTAACTTTGAAGTTCGCGCGATCACCATAAACTTTCACCAGCCTATAAGGTATTTATGTGACGTGGTAGACAACACACATCACATTCAGCCGTCCACATCGTCACCACCAAAACTTCAGAGCTTCTTGGTATGGAATGGTCCCGACTGATGGCTAGGTCTAATCTTAGAAATCAGTTTTTATATGCTTTTTATTGGTTACGTCGTTTGAAAAAGTTTCGTGAAGTAAAACGTTCTCTCCGTGTTAAGGGTTACGCCAACAGTTGAGTAACTGTCGGAATTTTGAACAAGTTTCCCAAGTGAACACTTGCAGGGACAGCGGATTAACAAGGTAGGTTTACATTCATTTTAAAGTAAAAGAATTAAAAATACACGTTAAAGGCTCCCTTATGCACACGAAAAATTAAAAAATATTCCAAAATATTTTGTACGGTTTATTCGTGAAGGCTTATTCGTTATTCATATTTTGTAAGGTTTATTCAAAATATTTTGTACGGCCCCACGTAGTTTCAAATTTGTTCCAAACTAAGTAAAAATTATTTTGGACGAAAATCAAATTCTGACCAGAACTAGGAACAACCCTCAATCCTTCATAGTCATACCATTTTGGGAAATATAATTGCAACGATGACTGTAATTTGGGCTCATTATACGTTCATTCAACTGACGAGAACGGGAGAATGTCATTAATCCAATGGAGACCATATGTTACTGTCAAATTCGATCATGTATAATATAGCAGCGGGCTTGTCCCAATGTGTGGTTGCCAAGATTTTTCCACGATAGTTACGTTTTTAATTAAATTTCCAAGAATTCCGTACTCAAAGAATCCAACTCTGTACTATCACTTTCTCAATGAGCGCTTCATGCAGTACAAATGAACAGTCTTGGCGTTTGCAGATAAATTAATCAAAATCGAAATGACGAGGTTAATGCATTGCCGTTCCCGGAATTGATGGCCATAAATTAAGGCTGTAGGAAATGAAACTGATTTAGTATTATTCACTCTTATCTATTTTTAATCCACAAGCTCTACTGACAATTCTTGCACATCTTTCTTCAGTAAAAAGAAATAGTATTTGCTAGCATATTCATTTGTGACCAGTAAATGAGATTTTAAAACATGCTCACTTCTAACGACATGATGACAATTTTTATTTCCAATTTTCGACAGTTGCGCTTACAAATCTAAATTTTCAATCCGAATTATATTATATGACCTAGACCTAGCAATGCGAAATTAATCTTCGAGTGTCAACGGTGGCAGTGAGACGACAACGAAAATTCATACCAATTCGGCAATAAAACCTAAACCTTATAAAGAGGTTTACTTCAAATTTTCTGCAATAGGGATATAGGGATACTAATATTTGAACACTACATGCCAGTTAGGCCTTTTGTTGAATTTTGGACTAATGTCCAGATACGCCATCCTCGAGTGCCAGACCACAGACCTGAGACACGTCAATCGTTCAACATGGATTATTGCTCAGTCTGATAGTATATGAAAATTTCCTCTCGACATGCGTGCGCATACCAATTAAAACATCAGTTTCATCAAGACTACCATAATGAGATCGGACGCAAGTCATCGGATCAATTATCAGGGTTTAATAACTTCTGCCTCGAATTATGAAGCGAAAACTATTCCCACTCCTAGTGCTTTGTTGGAGTGAATTATGAACAATAACTTCTAAATCCGTAATCAAACTTGCATACTCACATCCATTCCAAGTACGGTTACGACAATTCTTGACATCTCGCACTTGTCTATTTGCGTTAGTCTTTGCATATTGACGCCGCTACATTTTCAACCACTGACTATAATTTTATATGCTGAAATTTAGAGAAGGTCGATTAGGCTGCATTGATGGAAATATTTTTCGCCATTTTCCTCACTATCAGTCGGGGAAAAATTTGCTTTGTTTTCATAAGATAAGCAAATCTTTAATCACGTTAATACGGAGTACTAAAAGTTAGATATACCTTAACATGTAAATGATCGGCAATTAACTAGCTACAAAATTAACTCTAAAAACATAAGTGTAACTTGGTTGTAAAAGATCATCCTACCAGCTGAACCTCAATGTATCAACTAGACTCAACAGGAACACTTTACAATTACAATGGAATATTAATTCACTTTGCAGAAGGTCTCTTTCGTGTTCTTTTCGATCCATGGAAGGAAATTGGTTACTTTCGTATAGATTCCGGGGTAAGGAGGAGCTGAACACGACGAGAGGCTCCAGGAACCAATCCCTAGTTGGATGTGACGTCCCTCAGACTGTACGGTCAGGGGGCCTCCAGAATCTGCATTGCACGCGAACTTGCCAGCACCCACCGTGCAGAACATATTGTCCGTGACTGCCAGCCAGAAGCCGTCGGTTTCTATGAAGCAATCGCCACGGATTATGATGAGATCATCTTCTTCAAGGCCTTCCGATGGTTCTTGATCGCCAACCCCGCCCCATACCGTTATAGTTCCTGCACTTCCTTCGTAGTCAGAGTGATTCAAATTGTAAGGTAGACACACAGGTGAAATTCTTTTCGAATACGTTACTGGAGCAGCCATCTTCAGCAGGGCGATGTTGTTATCTAAATTATTAGCATCATAATTAGGATTGGTAATTATCCGAGAGACCTTGACTCTTCTACCGGACTTGACGTTTGGCCTAGCCTGATTGGTACCCAGCACTACCTCGATGTCATCGGGTGCTTCATCCAACACGCAGTGCGCGGCCGTCAGCACCCACTGCTTGGAAATTAGGCTTCCTCCGCAAAAAGGTGTATCTCTTCCTTTACTAAAGATGCCTGCCATCCAAGGATGTTCAGCTATTGACGCAGCGCCATCTCTTTGTTCTGGATTGCCCAATCCACAGTCACAGTTGCTTTCGGAGGTGGCTTTTGGAGGGAGCTCGGCTTCAGGAAACGATTCAGCTGACGTTGGATTCCTTTTCGCTGCAGTAGATTTGATAGGAGTGGCGATGAAACAAATATATCCTGGGAGAATAACGTTATCAGGGATTGCATTGATGAATTTCAGTGCTACTTTATTGGTGACTGTTGTGAAGTTCAGCGTCTGCCGATAGCCACAATAGGTCACGGCATCTGCGTAGTCGGGATCTCCGGAAGGCGAGTACAGGAGCTTGGAGTATCTGCAGTTGTAGTCATATATTATGGTCAGTGGATTGCAAAGCACGTAAATTTTATGAGCGACGGGAGCACTGCCTTCGAAAACGCAAGTCTGAACAGCGCCTGGGGTCGCGGTGAATTGATCTACAGACGTGAATTGGTACACTTCATCAGGTTGAAGATCAATATTAGTCTGATTACAACATTTCACTTCACACCACAAGGCCAAGGTCACAAAAAATGTCAATGATGTCTTCATATCTGTCGATTCCCTACGAATAAAATTAAGAAAAATTTTCACAGGAATTGTGAGGAGGCTTATATATATCAGGAGCAACCTTCCGGTTAAGCTTCTTTACAAGTCACTGGACCAAATGGCCAGCAGATGTTGGAGCAGAATTTATATGTCCGCACTCTGTTAAGATCACCGAAAGACTGGATAAATAACATGCAGACACTCTCAGCGTACGTCGGCTCTTCAATGATATAGCAGGGCCATTGGTTCTGGAAGATTCTTTTAAACTAATACACGCAAATTTAAAAAATTCAATAACTTTCGCTAAACCAGATAAGAATCAATAATTTCAATGATGAAGTGATTTACTATAGCTTTACCGGAAAATATTCCAGGCCAAGTTTATTTTTAATATATTACTAGCGCTTACGCCGAGATTGTACGAATTGACAATTGCAGATAGAGAATCTCTTAATCCCGCCATCCCAAATACCATCCTAATACAGTTGATAATTTGAAGTAAAAATTTCTATATTCAAATGAAAGACCATTCAAACAATTCAAACATACGTATAGCACAGAACTCTATCCATTTTGGCACTAAATTAATGCCAAAATAAACTGCTCATGGCACTTCGCGTGTTCGCTCGGTACTGCACGTGGTGAACATACCTTACAAAAAACCTGAGTTCAACAGGCACTTTTCACCAATGAACATGCAAGGTCCCGAGTAACTTTAATGGTAGCGCCAGCACAACAAACGTTTCCACCATGCAGCCTAGCAAGTATTCACGTGGCGTGGCAGCAGTACATCAAACTCCCTGACTCCCAAATGGCACACCAGACGAACATCGGTTTCCATTCATTCAAAACTACAGGAATTAAAATATGTGATCAGAGTTACCGTCTGTACTCAAAGTGTTAGAAAAAATAACGGCATTTGGTTGAGAATATTCATGAATTTCAAGTATTCCGTGAAATTTTACTTTTTCATTGAAGTTTGCAACGACAGAGTGCTGATGTCGAAGTCGACAGTGGAAAAGGTTTAGGAGATAATATCGACAATGAGTTGAAATTTTCTAAGCATATTGAAGGTCAAGTTAATAAAGCCAATAAACGACTTGGACTGATCAGACGCTCTTTCGAATTCCTAGATGCAGAAACGATGAATCAGTTGTTTGTTGTTGTCGTGCACCCGAACCTAGAGTTTGGAAACGTCGTGTGGTTACTGAAATTTTAAATGGACAAAAATTTAGTAGAGAGTGTTCAAAGACGTGCAACAAGAATAGTTCCGGGCTTGGTAGACAAGTCCTATGAGGAAAGATTAAAGATTATGAAGCTTCCAAGCCTCAGTTATCGACGTCTGCGTGGGGAACTCATTTGAAGCATACAAGTATACTCACGGCTTATACAAGGTCCCAGAAGGATTACTAGAATTTGAAACAAGAACTAACACCAGGGGCCACGGCTATAAACTAAAAAAACAGCGTTGGAACACATCCATGCGACAACATTTCTTCTCGCTTTGAGTCACCGACTTGTGGAACAGCCTACCTGATAGCATCGTTGAAGCTCCGAGTATGAACGCCTTCAAGAACAGACTAGACGAAGCTGTGCAGGAGCATATGTTTAGTCTTAAAATGCCTAGCAAATTACGGATTAGGCAATAAGTCCAGCAGCTATCTCAATCAATCGTCAGTTATGGAAAGATCGGGTTCCAAAGGCCGGATCCCTTGTGAATCAAGCCACGAAAAGTTCAAGAATCGGCAACAGGCCATGGGCCTATTTCTTCAATGCCGACACTTCTATTCAATTCTTACAAGAATGATTGGATTTACTCAAGGACGGAGATCGAATTCTGATCAAAAATAAGACATACCCTCAATTAATTATACCCATACCGAATGCGTTTTGAAACCAAGTGGGAAAATGTAATGAAAGTAATAAATTATGGGATCTGGAAGTTCCTTGCTCTATGTAGACGAGACCGGAAAAAATTAATTAATTCATTTGATGAAATTTCACATTTGAATTATTTTATGCGCAAGTCGTCAGATTTTTATAATAAAAAATTATTAACGTTGCAAATGACAATTTAAGCAATTTCGTAATCAAAGAATCCAACTCCGTACTACGCACTTCATTCCACTAGGCACGTCTGTACAAATTAAGTCTTCGCGATCGCAGAGAAATTGAACAGAAAATAAAATGAAGTAAATATATATTCCTGTCCACGGAATCAAATGATATAAACAAAGGCTGTAGTAAATAAGCGGTTGGGAATATAAGTCCACGCTGGTCTCGTTTCACTATATAAGCTTTATTAATAATTTTTGCATAGGCATAAAAAATTCTTAAATTGCATGGAACATTCAACAATTGCCATCCCATACATTCATGACCAGTGAATGCGAATCTAGTCAAAAAACTATAGCTATAAAATGGCCATTTTTATTTACAATTACAAAATACAGGAGTACTCATATTGGGATATTCAAAGAGGATTCAATTAAATATCTATTGAGAAAAGGTAAAAATTATATCTTCAAAACTCTGTAGTGGGACTGAGCCGACAACAAAACTTAATGCTAAATAATTAAGAGGTTGATAGGCACAAAAGTGACGCTTAATGCCAAATAGGCCGCATGTTTTTTATTTATATCTAGGAACAGATATCCTCTGGAACAGACGAAACAATATTCAACAAGATTCTTCAATCCTTATATATTGAATACTGTAGATCAGGAGAACCAGTTTATGATTAATATTCCCGTTTTTCGGACCTTGAATGTCCGATTTTATTCCAGCTTGACGTTATTACGTACATTTGTTCCATAAACCAAAATCTTCTCTACGCACTGCATCTGTAACGGACGAGGTTATGCCAGTTGCCACGGACACGTTATATCCAATCATTGCTACCTGTCCAGTTTTACCCGCATTAGTACACGAAAATTTATTTGCGAACGAATACTGATCACATGAGCGGTTTTATAAATACTTTCATTCGAGCCTGACGTACATTTTTGTTTCATTCATTCATATCCGACACATTTTCCGAATATTGGGCAATTGTCGTTTGTCCTAAAAATGAATTATAACGCCATTCTAAGTGCATTATTGATTGCCGCAAATTATATTGACCATCATTCGAAACAAGAATTTTAATAACCATAATAAAATTTCAACCCTGGTATCCATTTTCAAGTCCGTTTACATCAATATTTTTGCACGATTTGCATCTGTTCATAATTCAATATAATAATATTTACGGCGGGGAGGCTTAATAATCGGTCTGTTTCTCGCATGCAATCGGGGAATAATTTGCTTAATATTTACTAGGTAAGAAAATTACGGTGATTACGTTAATGCTTTGAGTTCAAAAATGCTACATACATTCATATTTCAGTGCTCAATTATTAACGCTTAACAAATGGAAATCCTAATCATATTTTGCTTAGTTTCTACACAATCATCCCAGAAGCTCCACATCAGTATTAACAAAACATAACCTGCACAACTTCTAATTTTTACCCAACATCAGAAATTTAAAATTTACCGCGAGATATTAATTCAGGCGGCAGAAGGTCTCTCTCGTGTTATATTCAATCCATTGAAGGTAATTAGTAACTTTCGTATAGACTCCGGGGTGTAATGGATCTGTACACAGTTGGAGGCCCCAGGATACGATCCCCAGCTGTATGTGACGTCCCTTAGACTGCACTGTCAACGGACCTCCCGAATCTCCGTCGCACCCGGATTGACCATCAGTTCTCAACGTACAGAACATATTGTTAGTGACGCTCAGCAGTTTCTCGCCGCGGTAGTAAACAGTGCACTCTTCAAAATTTATGATTCGGAGATCAACTTCCTTTAGAACTTTAGACCAGTCTCCTTGTACATTAGCACTGCCCCACCCCGTTACAGTTCCATAAGTACCTTCGTAGTCCGAGTGCCGCAAATTGAAAGGTAGACACACAGGAGAAATTCCGTTTGAATACGTCACTCGGGCAGCCAACTTCAACAAGGCAATGTCGTTATCATGAATAACGTTATAATAAGGATGGCTAATTACCAGAGATATCTTTACTCTTCTGCCGGACTTTCCGTCTAGCCCAAACGTATTTGTACCCAGCACTAACTCAACGTCCTCCAGTGCTTCATCTTTCATGCAGTGCGCGGCCGTCAGCACCCACTGATTGGAAATCAGACTTCCTCCACAAAAAGGAACGTCGATTCCTCTATTAACGATGCCAACCATCCAAGGATATTCAGCCGTCGAAGCAGCGCCACCTCCAACTACTCTTGGCCCTGGATTCTCTAATCCACAGTCACAGTTGCTTACGGAGGGGGCAGTTGGGCGAAGCTTGGCTTGGGTGGAAGTAACAGTCGTCGGAGTCCTTATCGTTGCAGTAGTTCTAACGAGAGTAGGAGGCGGAGTGCCTATGTAACAAATGTATCCTGGCAGAACCACATCCTTGGGGACTGTGTGGACGAATTTCAGCGCTACTCGGTTAGCCATCGTCGTGAAATTCAGCGACTGACGGTAGCCACAATAAGTCACGGCATCGGCGTAGTCGGTATTCCCGGAAGGCGAATACAGGAACTTAGCGTATCTGCAGTCGCGGTCGTACATGATGGTCAGGGGGTGGCACAGCACTGAAATTTTCTGGCCAAAGGGGGCAAAGCCTTGGAATACGCAGGTGTATGACGTGCCTGGGTCTGTGCCGACTTCATTTATAGTCAAGAATTCGTACACTTTATTAGTTTGAAGAGCAATATTACTCTCATTATAACTACAACATTTCACTTCACACCACAAGGCGAGTGTTACTATAATCGCAAATATTACCTGCATTTTCGTAAAATAATTCTGGATACAATCAAGAGTATTTGCTTATTTTTGGCAAATTTAGGTGTGGAAAACTGACCGCGTGAAGCAAAATCGCTTGGCGAGTCACAGTTGTCAATGGTTAGCAGATCCTGTATTGCTGGGGCTGAACACGGTCAGGATCAGAGAGAGACTGTGGACGTTCAGTTCACAGTCTCATTCTGCATCGGCACATCAATGTTAGAAGCGTCCGTTATTTCTGAGATTCCCTAAACTAATAGAACTAGATTTCGAAAAATTTAGGTTCATTTACTGAACTAAAATTCATCAGAATTTTCAATGAAGAGGTTATATACTATGGCTTTACGAGAAATTCTTTCAAACCAAGTTCGTGTTTATGTATAATAGGCGCCTAATTAAGCTGAGGTTGTACGGATTGACAATTGCACCTTCTCTTTCTTAATCCCGCCATCACAAATACCATCCTAATACAGTTGATAATTTGAAGTAAAAATTCTATATTCAAGTGAAAAAACGTTCAAACAACTCAAACATATATATATATAGCACGGAACTCCATTCATTTTGGCATAAAATTAATGCCAAAATAAACTGCAGGCGGCACCGTGCTTTACTGCTCATGGATGGCACTGAACGTGTTCCCTAGCTCGCTACAGCACGTGGTGGCACATACCTCACATGAAACTGAAGTTCATCAGGCACTTTTCACCAATGAACATGCAAGGTCCCAAGTCACCTCAATGGTATCGCCAGCACAACAAACGTTTCCACCATGCAGCCTATCAGGGCCTATACTTTCAAAATGTTGAGAGATCGTAAATTCATCAGCCAATCATTGACGGCCTTTCAAGCAAAATCCACCAATCATAGACAAGAAAATAGAGCGTAAGTACTTACGTTCACTTAGCGAGTTTTGAAAGTATGGCCCCAGGGTCTATACTTTAAATAAAGTTAAGAGATCATAAGTTCATCAGACAATCATTGACGGCCTTTCAAGCAAAATCCACCAATCATAGACAAGAAAATAGTGCGTAAGTACTCACGTTCACTTAGCGAGTTTTGAAAGTATGGCCGGCAATGGTAGCGCCAGCACAACAAACTTCCACCATGGAGCCTATAGCAGGTAGTCACGTGGAGTGGCAGCGGTATTACTTAGTGGAATAATAATAATAATAAAAAGCTTGTAAGACTTTTTGTGGTCAGGATTTAAAAAAAAATATTAACGTTGCAAATAACGATTTTAGCCATTTCGTAATCAAGGAATCAAATTCTGTACTACGTATTTTATTCCACATTAAACGTCTGTACAAATAAAGTCTTCGCGATCGCAGAAAATTGATCAGAATAAAACTGACGAAGTAAATGTATTCCAGTCCCGGTAATCAGACGATATAAATAAAATCTGTGAGAAATAAACAATTAGGGATAAAAATTCAAGCAGATCTCATTTCACACTATAGGCTTTATTAATTATTTTTGCCTATACATAAAGCATTCGTAAATTGCAGAAACGTTCAACAATTGCTATCCCATAAATTCGTAAACAGTGAATCACTGAATGGGAATTAAGAAAAGCATGGATACCCCTAAAATAATGGCCATTTTTATTTACAATTACTACCTTCAGGTGTTCTCATTTAAAATATTCAATTACGATACAATCAAATTTCCACTGAGAAAAGGCGAAAATCATCTTCAAACTCTGCACTGTCTCGGAACCGACAACAAAACTTATGGCTAAATAATCAAGAGATTAATAGGCACAAAATGGACACTAAATACCAACTAGGCCCCACTTTTAAATTTTTTATTTATATCTAGGCACACATCCTCTTGCGCCTGAACAGACGAAACAATATTAAACAAGAGTTTTCAATCCTTATCGAATACTGCTCATGATTAAATTCCTCGCTTTTCGGCCCTGGAGCGTCCAATTTTAATTTAGGTCGACGTCATCACGTACATTTGTTCGAGAATTAAAATTTCCAACACATTGGTAACGGTCGAGGTTGTACCGTGGCCACGGGCACGTTATATCCGATCATTTCTACCAGTCCAGTGATTTTATTTTCATTAATACATGAAAATGTATATGCAAACGAATAATAATTACATGGACAGTTTTACCAATACTTTCATTTGAGCTTGGCGGAAATTTTTCATTCATTCATATCAGACACATTTTCCGAATTTTGGGCAATTGTCATTTGTCCTAAAAATGAATCTAACTAATTGGTCTTTTTCTCGCATTCAATCGGGGAATAGTTTGCTTAATACTTATGAGGTAAGAAAATTACGATGATTACGTTAATGCTTTGAGTTCAAAAATGCTACATACATTCATATTTCAGTGCTCAATTATTAACGCTTAACAATTGGAAATCTCTATCTTAATTTGCTTGGGTTCTACACAATCATTCCACGAACTCCAGAGTCCAGATCACTGTATCAACAAAACAGTACCTGCAAAATCTTCAATTTTACCCTACATCAATATTTCAAATTTACCATGGGATATTAATTCACGCGGCAGAAGGTCTCTTTCGTGTTGTCTTCAATCCATGGAAGGAAATTAGAAACTTTAGTATAGACTCCGGGGTTCAAAGGGTCTGCACACGGCGGGAAGCCCCAGGAAACAATCCCCAGCTGGATGTGACGCCCTTTATACTGGACGGTTAGCGGGCCACCTGAATCGCCTTTACACACGCCCTGTGAAGGCCTCGCTGTGCAAAACATATTATTTGTGATTTTAAAAAGCGACATGCCGCGGTAGTATACGATACACTCTTCATAGCTCATGATGCGAAGATCAGCTTCCTTTAGAATTGCAGATGCATCTTTTAGTTCACCAACACGGCCCCACCCCGTTACAGTTCCAGAACTTCCTTCGTAGTCTGAGTGCCGCATATTGAAGGGCAAACACACCGGTGAAATTCTGTTCGAATACGTCACTCGGTCCGCCAACTTCAGCAAGGCAACGTCATCAATCGAATAATCCTTCAAATGTCTATAATAAGGATAGATAATTACCCGAGATACCTTTACTATTCTACCGGACTGCAGGTTTGACGCAAACAGATTTGTACCCAGCACCACCTCTATGTTCTCGGGTGTTACAACCATGCAGTGCCCGGCTGTCAGCACCCACTGATGGGAGATGAGGCTTCCTCCGCAAAAAGATTCGTTTATTCCTTTATTATGGATGCCAACCATCCAAGGATATTCAGCCGTCGATGCAATACCACCACCTACCACTCTTGGCCCTGGATTCTCGAATCCACAGTCACAGTTGCTTACTTTAGTGGAAGTAACAGTCGTTGGAGTCTTTCTCGTTGAAGTAGTTTTGACGAGAGTGGGAGGCGGAGTGCCTACGTAACAAACGTATCCTGGCAGAGGGACATCCTCAGGGACCGTGTTGATGAATTTCAGCGCTACTCTGTTAGTGAGCGTCGTAAAGTTCAGCGCCTGAGTGTAGCCACAATAAGTCACGGCATCGGCGTAGTTGGTATCCCCGGAAGGTGAATACAGGAACTTTGCGTATCTGCAGTTGCGGTCGTACATGATGGACAGGGGGTGGCACAGCACGGAAACTTTTTGGCCGAAGGGGGCAAAGCCTTGGAATACGCAGGTGTATGACGTGCCTGGGTCTACGCCGAACTCGTTAATAGTTTTGAATTCATACACTTTATCAGTTCGAAGAGCAACATTACTCTCATAACTGCAACATTTAACTTCACACCACAAGATGTGTGTTACTAGAATCGAAAATAATACCAGCATGTTCGTAAAATTACTCTGGCTACAATCAAGAGGATTAACTTATTTTCGGGAATTAGGAGTGGGAAACCGAACTAGTGAAGCAAATCACTTGGCGAGTCACAGTTGGCAATAGCTAGCAGAGCCTGTATTACTGGGTCTGAACACGGTCAAGATCAGATAGACTGTGGACGTTCAGTTCACAGTCTCATTCTGCATCGGCACATCAATGTTAGAAGCGTCCGTTATTTCTGAGATTCCCTAAACTAATAGAACTAGATTTCGAAAAATTTAGGTTCATTTATTGAACTAAAATTCATCAAATTTTTCAATGACGAGGTGATTAACTATGTCTTCACGAGAAAATCTTTCAAGCCAAGTTCGTTTTTATATATAATAGGCGCCTAATTAAGCTGAGGTTGTACGGATTGACATTTGCAACTTGATAATCTCTTCCCTATAATCCCGCCATCCCAAATACCATCCAAATACAGTTGATAATTTGAAGTAAAAATTCTATATTCAATTGAAAGAACGTTCAAACAATTTAAAACATATACATAGAGCACGGAACGCCATTCATGAATTTATATCAATTGTTTGCTTAAATCGCAAATTAACTAAGAATTTAAAAGCAAAGAAAAGTCCACAAAAATTCATATCTTTATAGAAAACGTTTTCAATAAAGATATGAATTTTTGTGGACTTTTCTTTGCTTTTAAATTCTTAGAACTCCATTCATTTTGGCATTAAATTAATGCCAAAAAAACTGCAGGCGGCACCGTGCTTTACTGCTCATGGCGCTGCGCGTGTTCCCTGGGTACTGCACGTGGCGGTACTTACCTTACAAGAAAACTCAAGTTCATCAGGCACTTCTTACATCAGGCGAATATTGAAAGTATGGCCAGCAATGGTAGCACCAGCACAATTAACAAACTTCCACCATGGAGCCTAGCAGGTAGTCACGTGGAGTGGCAGCCGTACATCAAACTCCAGACTCCCAAATGCCACACCGGAAGAAGATCGGTTTCCATTCATTCGAAACAACAGGAATTAAAAATATGTGATCAGAGTTACTGTCTGCACCCGGAGTGCTATAAAAAAAACTTAACGGTATTTGATAAGTTTATTCGTTTATTTATTTCAAGCATTCCGTGAAGTTTTGCATTTATTCAAGAATGATTGTACGTACTCAAAAACGGAGATCGAATTCTGATAAAAAAATAAGCCATACCCTCCATTAATTATAGCCACACCGAACTGCGTCTTCTAACCTACATGAAAAAAATGCCATGAAAGTACAATTACCAACTCCAGGTATTCTCATAGTGAAAGTATTCAATTATGATTCAATCAAATTTCCACTGAGGAAAGGCGAAAATCAGGATCTGGACGTTCCTTGCTATATTTAGACGAGACCGGAAAAATTTATTAATTAATTCGAGAAAATATCACCTATGAATTATTTCATGCGCAATGTATTGGCCGTTGACTCAAAAATGACGTAACGCAATGTATTGGCAGTTGTGGCCCGGCAGCTATATAACTACCTTCATAAGTCAGGTCTCATGCCTCGCCTCCAGTCTGCATACCGTCGTCATCACTCGACGGAGACCGCCATGCTGAAGGTTCTTTCGGATATTCTGCAGGCGGTCGACTGTGGCAACATTGCGGCGCTGGCTTTACTCGATCTTTCACAACAGCTACTCCTAACGTAACCTAACCTAACCTGTGCCGCCTGTTGCGGTAGGGCCTGTTGCACTCCGGCCAGTTGTGCTGGGGCGCTGTGAAGCACTGGCTGTGTTGTGCAAAGCGGATTTACTGTTAGCCGGAGTTACCCACAGCTCATTGATCCGAGGCTATGTGTAGATATTGCATGTTGATGGTTGGCGTTGGACCCAGGGCCTGTTTACGAGTCAATTTCGTTACCCACGGCTGCGCTCCCGACCGTTTGATGTCACCGCTTCTTAACATCGCAGAACATTCGCATCTTGTTACGGTCTCAAACACGCAACTCACAGCTCAAATTTTTTGTTGCTGAACCAACCGGCCTCCTCGCCGATTCTGACCAGAAATTTGCTCACATGGAAGCTATAATCCCTATTATATTATTTATATACATAAGCTTCTATAGTATCACTGATCCCGAACATCTCTGATGCAATGCTACTACTCTGAACTGTAACCACTGTAATCCCATCATCCGAAACAGTTAATAATTTGAATCAAAAGTTCTATATTAAAACGAAAGATTGTGCAAACATACAATAAGCTCAGAACACCCATTCAAGTACTGTTTAGATATTTCGAGGAAACTTGATTCTTTTTAGTTTTGAATTGAGTTTACTCTAACATAAGAAACTATCCCATTTTAATTTCAAATCTATCACTCCCAGCCCTTTCTCTATGTCACAGGATTAAACATTCACCCGATGCAAGTGTTTGAAGGCAGCCAAGTGTGCGTCATGTCGTGCAAGTGTATATGCAGCAAAGTGTAACGCAATCAACTCGTTCGATGAAATACGAACGTTAGTTTTATTACGGAACTTACGAGCAGATTTTGTCAGTAAAAATGGTCGTCATATTAACAGACGATCTCAAACCTTAGCGAGGTTCCATTTTAAGTAAAAATTTTCAAGAACGGCAATTAACGGAACTTAGAAAACTAGAATGGTTAAAGTTAATTGCTGGAAGAGTGGAGATCAACCTATTCCTGCCGCAACAGGTGGCGAGGCTTCGTCACAATTATCTTTTTAAGTTTTTGGTCGACAACGCCGTTTTAGAAAGATTAAAGTATCAATAAATTCTCAAACTATAGGGTTTGGACAGAAGTTAAATAATAGTTTAAACTTTTAAGTTTCCAATAGCCCTCCAAGTGATCACTGGCAGAGAACTTGGGTGAACGATGGAGGTTTTGTCGTCATTTAATTTTACTAGAGGCGTCTTTAAAAAAATGTGGCAACAATAAATGCCGTGAAAAAATTAATTGGACTCTTTATTTTCGTCGATGTAGAACGGGAGGATGTCACTAATTCAATGGAGAAAATCTTACCGTGAAATTCAGGCACATGTTATGTGGAGGCGATCAATTCTGCACTCCTTTAGGAAAGTTGTCTAAACTATTCAAAGACCGTTACGTTTCGAATGCCCTTATGAGTAATTTCATAACCAACGAGTCAAAATCTGCATTAAGCGTCTTATTCCACTTAGCAGACCTGAAAAAATGAACAGTTTGGCACTTTCAAACTAATCAATCGGAATAGAAAATAACGAGTTGAATTTAATCGCGCTCCAGATATTTCCGGGTATGAATGAATGCTGTAGGAAAAATAAGATTGGAAAGAAAAATCCATGCCGACGTCATATGACTCCACAAACTTTATTAATAATTTTTGCATTGGACATTTTAACTTGACGTGGCAATTTAACATTTGATATCAGAAACATTCATGACCAGGAAATGAGAATTTGAAAATCTGCGGTTGTAACGAAATGAATGCTACATTTATTTCCAATCACCAGCAAGTGTTTCTCGAATCTAAATATTCGACCCGGATTCGAGTATATGACATTTATTCAGAACACGCAAAAAGAATCTTCAAAACTCAGCAGTGCTACTGAGCCGGCAACATAACTTTATGTCAATCAAACACAGATGTTTATAGATACAAATATGATCAACTAAATACCACCTAGGCCTCTCCATATTGAATTTCAGACATAAGTAGATGAACAGTCATCAAGCGCCAGTCGAGACGATTCGTCAATTCTTCAACATCGAATACTGTCGATCTGAAGAAACGTTTCGAGATTCAACTTCAGTTGGCGGCCCTGCACTTTAGTACAGATCAATGCATTTTTATACATACACTACAGTACCTACAATTGATCATGAAAGGGCTTAGCATCGACAAAAAACTCTGGAGTGATATACCAGGCCAATTCCAGCAGTTCCAAAAATCAATATAGGTTTCTAAAAATCAAGAGAGATTCCAGCAGTTTAAGCTAAATCAAGAGGTTTGAACTCAAAATGAACTCTAAATACCAACTAGGACCCTTGTTAAATTTTTTTATTTATATATAGGCACCCATCCTCTTTAGCCAGAACAGGCGAAACAATATTCAGCAAGAGTCTTCAATCCTTTAATATCGAATGCAGAAGATCTGGAGAACCGGTCTATGATTTCATTTTCCACTGCTCGACCATGAAGAGTCCTATTATAGTTCAGGTCGACGTCATTACGTAGATTTCTTCCAGAAATTAAAATCTTTCAACACATTGCATGGTTAACGGTCGAGGTTGTACCGTTGCCACGGACACGTTATATCCGATCAATCCAACCAGTCCAGTAATTTTATCAGCATTAGTACACGAAAATTGTACATGCAAACGCCTACTAAGTACAAGAACGTTTTATGGAGACTATCATTCGAGCTTGACAGACGGTTTCCATTCATTCGCATCACTCACATTTTCTGCATCTTGCGCAATTGTTTTTGCTACAACATGTTCCTATGAAAATTAAGCGAAAGCTATTTTAAACATTGGGAGGCATTCTAAACGAGAATTTGGATAGCCATAATTAAGTTTATTAACAATTTTCCATTATCCATTTTCAAGTCCGGTAACAACAATTTCTTTGAATGATTAACATCTGTTCATGATTCGATATGCAAACATTTACGGCAAGGAGAATGAGGCGGTATTTAACTAAATAACTATCGGTCTTTTCCTTTTAATCAATCGGAGAATAATTTGCTTCGTATTTATTAGGTAAGAAAACTACTGTTATATTACGTCAATACTTCGAGCCAAAAAATCTACATAAATTTACGTTTTATTGCTCAACTATTAGCGCGTAACAAATGGAAATCGTAAATAATTTGCTAAGGTTCTACACAATCATCCTACGAGCTCCACTTCAGTGAATTACAAAAACATTACCTGTACAATTTTTAAGCTGCATCAGAAACTTTATATTTACCATGGGATTGGCATATTAATTCGCGCGGCAGAAGGTCTCTCTCGTGTTGTATTCAATCCATTGAAGGTGATTAGCAACCTTCTCATATAACCCGGGGTGTAAAGGATCTGTACACGGTTGGAGGCCTCCCATTACGATTCCCAGCTGAAAGTGACGTCCCTTAGACTGGACGGTCAGCGGACCTCCCGAATCTCCGTCGCACCCGGATTGGCCATCAGTTCTTAAAGTGCAGACGATATTGTCAGTGATGGCCAAATATTCCTTGCCGCGGTAGTAAAAAGTGCACTCTTTGTTGTTTATGATGCGGAGATTAACTTCCTTTAGCACTTTAGACGATTCCCCTTGTACACTAGCCCTGCCCCACCCTGTTACAGTTCCATAAGTACCTTCGTAGTCCGAGTGTTGCAAATTGAAAGGTAGACATACTGGGGAAATTCTGTTCGAATACGTCACTCGGGCAGCCAATTTCAGCAAGGCAATGTCATAACCAAGATTAATGCCGGAATAAGGATGGATAATTACCAGAGATACATTTACTCTTCTGCCGGACTTTCCGTTTAGCCCAAACGTATTTGTACCCAGCACTACCTCAACGTTCTCCATTGCTTCATCTTTCATGCAGTGCGCGGCCGTCAGCACCCACTGATTGGAAATTAGGCTTCCTCCACAAAACGGATCGTCTATTCCTCTATTAGCGATGCCAACCATCCAAGGATATTCAGCCGTCGACGCAGCGCCACCTCCAACCACTCTTGGCGCTGGATACTCGAATCCACAGTCACAGTTACTTACGGAGGGGGCTTGGGTGGAAGTAGCTGTCGTTGGAGTCCTTATCGTTGCAGTAGTTCTAACGAGAGTGGGAGGCGGAGTGCCTACGTAACAATAGTATCCTGGCAGATTGACATCCTCAGGGACCGTGTTGATGAATTTCAGCGCTACTCTGTTAGTGGCCGTCGTAAAAATCAGCGACTGACGATAGCCACAATAAGTCACGGCATCGGCATAGTTGGTATCCCCGGAAGGCGAATACAGGAACTTTGCGTATCTGCAGTCGCGGTCGTACATGATGGACAAGGGGTGGCAGAGCACGGAAATTTTTTGGCCATAAGGGGCATAGCCTTCGAAAACGCAGGTGTGTGACGTGCCTGGGCCTTCGCTGATTACATTGAAAGATAAGAATTCGTATACTTTACCAGTTTGAAGAGCAACATTTATCTCGTTACTACAACATTTCACTTCACCCCACAAGGCGAGAGTTACTACAATCGCAAATAATACCATCATATTCGTGAATTTCCTCTAGATACAATCAAGTGGATTTCCTTATTCTTAGAAATTGTTTGAATGGAAAGCCTAATAAGCGAAGCTTATGTCGTAGAAAGTCACAGTGAGAACTTGCAAGCAGAGACTGGATTGCTGGGTCTACACACGGTCAGGTTGAAGGAGAGACTGTGGTAATTTAGTTCACACTCTCAATATACGTCGGCTAATCGATTTTAGATGCGTCCGTTATTTCTGTAAGATTCCTTGAATGAAAAAGCCTGGATTACCTGAAATTTAAGTTCACTTACTGAACTAAAATTCTTCATTAGTTTCAATGACGAGGCGATTAACTGAAACGGCTTTACAAGAAAATCTTTCATGCCAAGTTCGTTTTTAGATATAACTAACGCTTAAGCCGAAGTTTTACGGATTGACTATATGTGTACGTTCAGAATCCCCTTATTTTTAATAAATAATATAGTAATAGCGGATTCAGCGTTTATTACTTCGTAGGCTTGTCGCTGCTTCTTAATATCGCAGAACATTTACAGCTTGTTGCGGTCTCGAACACGCAACTCACTGCTCCTATTTTGCGTTGCTTGACCGTCCGGCTTCCTCGCCGAATCTTACCAGAAACTGGCGCACCGGTAGCTGGAATCACAGGGTGGCCAGTCCAGAGTAGCAAGATTGGAGTAAAGAGGTGCGGGTTCGATCCCAGCTCTGTGCACCAGTTTCTGGTCAGAATCGGCGAGGAGGCCGAGCGGTTAATTAAGTAAAGCAAAATTGAAGCAGTGAGTTACGCGTTCGAGACCGCAACAAGCTGTGAATATTCTGAGATGTTAAGAATCGGCGAAAGGCCTACAGCCTAATAACGCTGAAACCGCCATTATTACTTATTATTATAAATCCGCACATCTTAGCTGCAATGCTAGTACTCTCAACTGTAATCCCCCTCAGGCATACTCGGCTGGTGCCGAATGGGATTCTGTCACTATATATATACTTTGTTTCATTATGACTCCAGTAGTAAATGAAATGTCAATATGAATATTTACATGCTTATTCAGCTATTCATTTGAAATTTCTCTATTGATAAAAAAAAGTATGTTAACTTTGTATAACATCTGTTATGATAGAGGAAAATGTTGTAAATCGATGTTCATTTTACATACGACTTACCGAAAATTTGTGTGACATAAGGCAGTAAAATTATTTATTCTCTACCCGTCAGGATTAAATACACATGTCTGAATCAACATCTATTTTAAAAATATTTCTCGCCAAAAACTAGTTATATACGAGCCAACTGCCAAGAGGAGTAAAAATCTCATGTACTAACTGCTCAAATGCAGGCGTTGTGGAAGGTACGAGGGGAAACTGATGCTGTATATTACTTTCCTGCCAGGGGCCATACTTTCAGAACTCGCTAAGTGAATGTAAGTACTTACGCTCTATTTTCTTGTCTATGATTGGTGGATTTTGCTTGAAAAGCCGACAATGATTGGCTGATGAACTTACGATCTCTTAACTTTTTTTTTAAGTATCGCCACTGTTATTCCACGAAGGGCAGTACGGAGAAGGGAAACTCAATGAGAGGCGAGGAATAATACGTGGCCAGCCGTCGGCCGAGGCAAATTAGTTATAGTCGACATCTGGCCATTCCTCGGCCACCTGAAAGCCAATAGTTGCCGCAAAAAAAAGGAGTTGGCTAGGATATCATATTACAAGAAGGGCCCATACTTTCAAAAAAAGTTAAGAGATCGTAAGTCCATCAGCCAATCATTGACGGCCACGCAAGCAAAATCCACCAATCATAGACAAGAAAATAGAGCGTAAGTACTTACGTTCACTTGGCGAGTTAGTTTTAAATGTATGGCCCAAGGACCACAAGCTCTAGAGCAGCGACTAGCCGAGCTGATAGAACCGATCGGGGATTTCACAGGATGGTCGCGAATACCTCGCTCTCAGACTTCGCCACACTGTGACTACAAGCCTTAATCCCATCATCCGAAACAGTTGATTATTTGAAGCAAAAATTTTATATTAAAATGGAGGTCAGTTTAAACATACATCTAGCACAGAACTCTCGTTCAAGTCCTGTTGAGATGTATGAAGGAAAATTTATTATTTACTTTTGAATTGAGTTTACTCCAACATAAGAGACTATCGCATATTAATTTCAAATCTGTTGAAGGCAGCCAAGTGTGACACAATTAACTCGTTTGATTAAATATGAATGTTTTTTTATTACGGAACCTACCAGTGGATATTGATACAAAAAAAGTCGTCAAATAACTGACGATCTCAAATCTTTACAAGGTTTCTAGAATTAAATTCTCTTAAAATTTCTCATTTAGACTTTTATAACGGCAATTAATACAGCTTAGAAAACTAGAATGGTTGAAGTTAATTCTTAGGAGTGGGGATCAACCTATTTCCTGCCGCTTCGTCACAATTATCAATTTTTATAAGTTTTTTGTCGACAACGCTACTTTAAAATTATTTAAGTTCAAACAATTCTCCCAAACTATAGGATTAAGACAGAAGTTAAAAAATATATTTCCAGCCAGTGGAATGACGCAGAATTGAACTATATCAATTTCATTACTCCACACCATCAACCGGGGGGATGATTTGCCAAGGTTTTTTATTTAAGGTTAAAAAATTTCGGCGAGCGCGTTTAAAATATACATGGGTTCAAGAACCTATACACTTTCATCTTTCCATGCTCTACAATTTACGCGTGACAAATGGAAGTTGGAGAAAGTTTTGCTAGGAGTGTACACAGACATCTAACTAACTTAACATAGTACAATAACATAACATGCTGACATATTTTTCTTTACTTACATCAGAATTTTTAAATTTACCATAGGATATCAATTCACTTTACAGAACGTCTCTTCTGTGTTTTCTTCGATCCATTCAAGGTAATTAGTAACTTTCGTATAGACTCCTGGTTTTAAGGGATCTGCACACGGCGGGAGGCTCCAGGATACAATCCCCAGCTGGATGTGACGTCCCTTAAACTGGACGGTCAGCGGACCACCTGAATCTCCTCTACACGAGTCCTGGCCAGGTCTTAGGGTGCATAACATATTATCCGTGACTTCATACAGCGAACTGCCGGGGTAGTATGCAATACATTCTTTAAAGCCTATGATGCGGAGATCAACTTCTTTTAGAACTTCAGACAGATCTTCTAGTTCACCAACCCTGCCCCACCCCGTTACAGTTCCATAAGTACCTTCGTAGTCCGACTGCCGCATATTGAATGGTAGACACACGGGGGATATTATGTTCGAATAAGTCACTCGGGCAGCCAACTTCAGCAAGCCAATGTCACTATCATACGTAACTCCATTATAATAAGGATGGATAATTATCCGAGATACCTTAACTCTTCTGCCGGACTGCTGATTTAGCCCAACCAGATTTGTACCCAGCAATACCTCTAAGGTCTCGAGTGTTTCACCTATCATGCAGTGCGCGGCTGTCAGCACCCACTGATTGGAAATGAGGCTTCCTCCGCAGTTAGGCCTGTTTATTTCAATTTTAATGACCCCAACCATCCAAGGATATTCAGCCGTCGACGCAGTATCTCCACCTGCCACTCTTGGCCCTGGATTCTCGAATCCACAGTAACAGTTGCTTACGACGGAGGCAGTTGAGAAGAGCTTAGCTTTGGCGAGAGACGCAGCCGTCGGAGTCCTTATCGTAGCACTATTTCTGATGAAAGAGGGTCGAGAGCCTACGTAACAATAGTATCCTGGCAGAGGGACATCCTCAGGGACCGTGTTGATGAATTTCAGCGCTACTCTGTTAGTAAGCGGCGTAAAATTCAGCGCCTGAGTGTAGCCACAATAAGTCACGGCATCGGCGTAGTCGGTATCCCCGGAAGGTGAATACAAGAACTTAGCGTATTTGCAGTCGCGGTCGTACATGATGGACAGGGGGTGGCAGAGCACGGAAACTTTTTGTCCAAAGGGGGCAAAGCCTTCGAAAACGCATGTGTATGACGTGCCTGGGTCTACGCCGAACTCATTAATAGTTTTGAATTCATACACTTTATCAGTTTGAAGAGCAATATTACTCTCGTTACTACAACATTTTACTTCACAACTCATGGCGATGGTTGTTAAAATCGCAAACAATACCAACATATTCGCAAGTTTCCTCTGGATCCAATCAAGATGATTTTCCTTACTTTCGGGAATTGTTTGAATAAGAAAGCTAACAACCGAAGCAAATGGAGTGGCGAGTCACAGTAGGCAATGACATGCAGAGAATGTATTGCTGGATCTGCACACGGTCAGGTTCAAGGAGAGACTGTGGACGTTTAGTTCAAACTCTCAATTTACATCGGCTCATCAATGTTAGAAGCGTACGTCACTTTTTTCTGTAAGATTCCCTAAACTAATATGCCTAGATATCTGGTCGAAATTTCAGTACATATACTAAACTAGAAAGTCCTCAAAAGTTTCCATAACGAAGTGATATACTATGACATAACGATAAAATTTTTCAGGTCAAGTTCGTTTCTATTTATAACTAGCGCTTAAGCCGATTGTACGGATTGACAATAATTGTACGTTGAGAATCGCCATATTCTCATTAAAAAATATAAAAATGGCGGACAATGCGTTTATTATTAAGCCGATTGTACGGATTGACAATAATTGTACGCTGAGAATCGCCATATTCTCATTAAATAATATAAAAATTGCGGACTATGCGTTCATTAGGCCGTAGGCCTGTCGCTTCTTCTTCATATCGCAGAACATTCACAGCTTGTTGCGGTCTCGAACACGCAACTCACTACTCCCACTTTGCGTAGCTTAACCGTCCAGCCTCTGGCCGATTCTGACCAGAAATTGGAACAAATGGAAGCTGAGATTCCCATTATGTTATTGATATATATAAGCTATTATATTATTGAACTCACACCTCTCTACTCCAATGCTAGTACTCTGAACTGTAACCACTCGGCCACCCATTCTTCTATTCTTAATTTCATCATCCGAATCAATTGATAATTTCAAGATAAATTCTAAATTCAAATGAAGCACCGTTCAAACATACCTTAAGCACAGAACCCCGATTCAAGTCCTGTTTGTATATATGAAGGAAACTTGATTTTTTTAGTTTGAATTGAGTTTACTCCAACATGAGGAACTATCGCATTTTAATTTCAAATCTATCCTTCCCAGCCCTTTCTATCACAGTATTCTACAATCATCCGATGCACGGTAGAGGCATCTACAGACGTTATATTGTCAAACATGTCTCTCGTCAAGCACGTCTTTAGTTTAACATTTCTTCAATGTATATTCCCTCACTTAAATGCATTCAATTAAAGCATTATTTGTTCTATTTAGAGTGTTAACTTTTTTAACCGTGTTTCACTTCTAGACAATTATTTAATGTTAAGTTTTAAGAATCACAGGAGAAGCTTCGTAACAAAACAATGAGTAGTCCTCAACAAATCGCAAAATAATTCATGCATTTTTCGGGGATCTCTCCTCGTCTGATAGTTCCCGCTTGAACTTGCAGATTGAATAAATTGATTCGGGACAAATTATATTGAATGTGGATTATTAAATACATAATCGCATTTATCGACGCACCTGTAGTTGAGGTTTCACCTGAGCTAAAATCAAGCCATTTGCATCAATTTATTTTATGTAACTATTTGTAAATTAAAACTGGCTTCCAACGCTATTTTCAAGCTCTTGCCTCTATGTAAAATAACAGTGGCGCAACGTGAGGATAACATTTGCTTATCCATTCTGTGGAAATGCGTCATGTCGTGAAATTGTTTGAAGGCAGCCAAGTGTGAGGTTTCTAGAATTAAATTCTTGAAACTTAAAAAAAATCAAAAACGGCAATTAAGATCTTGCACTAAATTGTTAAAGTTAAATAGTAGTAGTAGTGTAATGGTTTGCTAGCCCTTCATCTATCAAGCTATTTCGCACCGAAGGTCAGAATATAACATCGCTAAGGAGGCGGAAGGTCTCAATTATTCAAAATCTAAAGTTAATCATCACCCACAAGGAGCGGAAGGTCTCAGTTGTCCAGCCCGCTGAAGCTGGCTCGAAGGAAGCAGCGTTAGCATCTCAAAGAGACGAAGTGACAAGGAGGGACAAGTGACAAGGAGGGACAGGTGACAAGGAAGGACAGGTGAAAAGCAACAGAAACTAAGATACTCGAACAAGTGGTCGCTTACACGGGACGTCGGCCTCCCGCATGAGGGAGACAGAAGGGAAATGTAAGGAATCCTACCTACACAATAACTTCATGTAAGGAATCCTACCTACATAATAAATTAACCCTACAACTGAGACCTGCAGTCAGTCACCACGATCTCAGCGGTGGGGCGCTCAGGAATAATCATCCTAGGAGCGCGAACCCCCATAGGACTTCTGACGAGCACAGACACCCGTCAGAAGTCCCCCCTGAGAGGTAAAGTTGATTAATAAAAGAGTGGAGATCACCCTATTCCAGTCGCAACAGGTGGCGAGGCTTCGTCACAATTGTCAATTTGTACAAGTTTTTTTGTCGACATCGCAGTTTCAAAAAGATTTAAGTTTCAATGAATTCTCCCAAACAATAGGGTTTGGACAAAAGTTAAATAATAGTTGAAACTTTGAAAAAGTTATCAATAGCCCTCCAAGTGAACACTTGCAGAGAACTTGGGTGAACGATGGAGGTTTGTGGTCATTCAAAACTACTAGGTTTCTTTAAATTAAATGTGTCAACAATAAATGCCATGTAAAAAATGAATTAGACTCATTATTTTCGTCTTGTAGAACGGGAGGATTTCACTAATTCAATGGAGGAAATCTTTTAGTGAAATTCAGGCGCGTTTTATGTAGGCGGTTGATTCTATACGCTTGCCGAAAAAAAAGTTGCCTAAACACTATTCACAGACCGTTACGTTTCGAATGCTATTGTCTGTAATTTCATAACAAACGAGTCCAAGTCTGCATTAAGCGTCTGAGCAGACTAGCAAAAATACACAGTTCGGCTGTAGCAGACAATTAGATCGGAGAAGAAATTGACGAGGTGAATTTAATTTAGACGCACTCTAGAGATTAACGGTCATGAATAAAGGCTGTACTAAATAGAAAATTAGGAATAATATTCAATGCCGAAGTCAATTAACTCAACAAACTTTATTAATAATTGTTGCATTGGACATTCTTAACTTGACATGGCAATTTAACATTTGTTAGGAGAAACGTTCTTTACCAGTAAACGAGACTTTGAAAATCTGCGCTTCTAACGAGAGGAAGGCTATATTCATTACCAACCATCAGCAATAGGGTTTCACGAATCTAAATGTTTGATCCAGATTTTATTATATTACATCAATTCAGAAAACGGACAAACAATCTTCAAAACTCAACAGGGCTACTGAGCAGACACCATTACTCAATGCTAATTAAATAAAGAGGTTTATTAGCATAAATATGAAAACCGACTAGATACCAACCAGGCCTCTTCATTGAATCTTGGACACAAGTAAATGCACAGTCATTGAGCGACAGACGAGAAATTTTCAGACGAATCGTCAATTCCTCAACATCGAATACTGTGGATCTGAAAAAACGTTTTGCGATTCAAAAGCGTTCAACAGATCAATACGCTTTTATACATTCGCTAAAGCACCTAAAATCGATCATGAACGTGCTTATCATCGACGTTAATCTGTTGTGCTACCATGCCAATTACAGCAATTCTATCCTAACATGACCATTTTCACTGGACATGCAAATGCACATACTAATAACGAGATCATTTTCGTAATGCCCAACGTCGTGCCTTTCATTCGGGTTCAACGAACAATCTCCATTCACGCAGATTATCAATTTCAATTGCCTATACTGATTGATGTAATCATCTATACGTCCTATAACTTCGGCCTCTAATAATACAGCTAAAACTTTCCTAAGCTAAAGTATCATTAGGATGCATTTGAAATAAGAAATTAATTTAGCCATCCTTAATCAAGGTTCCATCTCGGCATCTGTTTTCAAATGCCGTTGCAAAGCTTCTATATAAGATGTACTTTTTGTCTGCGTTGAAGTTAATAGATTCATCAGCCCCTATATTTTCAACCGCTGTCCTCAATTCGATACGCTAATATTTACTGCCAGTTGAATGACGCATTATTGCATGGACTAAATCAATTTCGTAGTTCTCACTATCGATAGGGGAATAATTTGCCAAGTTTGTACAAGGTCGAGAAATTTCGGTGACTACGTGAAAGCTGAGCGTGCATGAATCAATATACATTCATATCTCTATATGCTCATCAATTTGCTAGGGTTTTACACGAACATCGTATGAGCTCAACATAAGTGCAATACCAAAATTTGCCTGCAGATTTTTCTTTACTTACATCAGAATCTTGTAATATACCACAATATATTAATTCACTTTGCAGAAGGTCTCATGCGTGTTATTTTCGATCCATCTGAGGAAATTAGTAACTTTCGTATAAACACTGGGGTTTAAAGGATCTGTACAAGGCGGGAAACCCCAGGATACAATACCCAGCTGGATGTGACGTCCTTTAGACTGGACGGTCAGCGGGCCACCTGAATCTCCTTTACACACGCCCTGGGAAGGTCTCGCAGTGCAAAACATATTATCTGTGATTTTATAGAACCCCATGCCGCGGTAGTAAACGATACACTCTTCATAGCTCATGATGCGGAGATCAATATCCTTTAGAACTTCAGACAAATCTTTTAGTTCACCAACACTGCCCCACCCCGTTACAGTTCCATAAGTACCTTCGTAGTCAGAGTGCCGCAAATTGTAAGGTAGACACACGGGTAAAATTCTGTTCGAATACGTCACTCGGTCAGCCAACTTCAGCAAGGCAATGTCATTATCCTTCATATATCTGGGTCTATAATAAGGATGGATAATTACCCGAGATACCTTGACTCTTCTGCCGGACTGCTGGTTTAGCCCAACCAGATTTGTACCCAGCACCACCTCTACGTTCTCGGGTGTTTCATCTGTCATGCAGTGCGCGGCCGTCAGCACCCACTGATTGGAGATGAGGCTTCCTCCGCAAGAAAGTCTGTTTTTTCCATTTTTAAGGATGCCAACCATCCAAGGATATTCAGCCGTCGATGCAATACCACCACCTGCCACTCTGGGCCCTGGATTCTCGAATCCACAGTCACAGTTGCTTACGGAGGGGGTTTGGGTGGAAGTAGCTGTCGTTGGAGTCCTTATCGTTGCAGTAGTTCTAATGAGAGTGGGAGGCGGAGTGCCTACGTAACAAATGTATCCAGACAGAATCACATCCTTGGGGACTGTGTGGATGAATTTCAGCGCTACTCTGTTAGTGAGCGTCGTAAAGTTCAGCGCCTGAGTGTAGCCACAATAAGTCACGGCATCGGCGTAGTCGGTATCCCCGGAAGGCGAATACAGGAACTTTGCGTAAGAGCAGTTGCGGTCGTACATTACAGCCCCTGGATGGCAGAGCACGGATATCTTTTGGCCAACTGGAGCATAGCCTTCGAAAAGACACGAGTATGTCGTGCCTGGGGCGGGACTTGGTTCACCTACAGACGAGAATTCGTACACTTTATCAGTTTGAAGGGCAATATTAGTTTCGCCGCAGTAAGTTGCCGCACAATTCTCACTCCCTAAGGAGAGAATTAGTACAAAAGCAAATAATACTGGCATGTTGGTAAATTCCTCAAAGTACAATATTTGTCTCTGATTTCGGGAATCTTGAGTTTAACGAGACGTGGCAATGCTTACTTTCCAGTAAATTACGAGATAAGTCAAAGACGGATGTGGCAAGCAAACATTAGAGACGGTATTAGAGCGTCCTCGCACGGTTACGATCACCGAACGACTGCGGGTTGCGGACTTGAGTAACTTGGGAGCGCAGCCCTACACCACAAATTTAGGTCAAAAACAAGCCCTAGCGCCATCGCCTACCCTATAATGCAATAACTAAACTCAGCTCACACCCAAGAAGCTGTAGGTAACTGAGTCATCTCCACACACCAACTTTAAGCAACACCTACCTCACGCCACAGCCTGGTGAATCAAATAGTCAATTGTCAACAGGTCCTACTCCACAGAATTGTACCCCATACTATCACTTCTTACACATGCCGTAAGCCAAGGGCTATGCAGGGGTCTATACTGCGTCCCAGTAACTCGACACTCAGTATACGTCGACTCTTCAATAGAAGCACCCGTTGGTTCTGTACGATTCTTCAAACGAATACACGCAGAAAACTTTCTTAAGTTCAATGACATTATATGTAGTTTTCAAGAGTTCCAATGACGAAGTGACTTGCTAAGGCTTTATGAGAAAATCTTTCAGACGAAGTTTGCTTTTATATATAACTAGCGGTTAAGCCCAGTGTTGCACGAATTGCTGATCCGTGAAATTTAGGAAAACTTTTATTCCTAACCACGTTATCATAAATCCATCTCACCGAATTCAGTAGATTATTTGAAATAAAAGTTCTGTACGCAAATCAAGGAACGTTCAAGCACATTTAACACAGATCTCCTCAAGTAAAGTTTTGACATTTGAAGCAAACTTGATATTCTAGTTTGAATTGAGTTTACTCTCACATGAGTAAATATCGAATTTTAATTCAAATCTATCAATCCCAGCTATTTCTCTATGCCACAGTTCAATAAGGGCTGCCTGCAGATTGCAGACCATTAAAAATTTTTCATGACGAGTTTTTTGTTACTTTAAAGGAGCGATGACTAAAGAATTTGGGTTGGGCGACAATTATTCGATAATTATCTTTTTTTTATTTAACAAAGGAAGGCATTTTTCGTCATCCGACACGTTATATTGTCAACCACGTCTCAATCCTTACCTCATCCGACACGTTATTGTCAACCACGCCTCAATCCTTACCTCATCCGACACGTTATGTTGTCAACCACGCCTCAATCCTTACCTCATCCGACACGTTATATTGTCAACCACGTCTCAATCCTTACCTCATCCGACACGTTATATTGTCAACCACGCCACATCATCACGTCTTTGCTACGTCACCACATCATCACGTCTTTGCTACGTCACCACATCATCACGTCTATGCTACGTCACCAAATCATCACGTCTTTGCTACGTCACCATATCATCACGTCTTTGCTACGTCACCACATCATCACGTCTTTGCTATGTCACCACATCGTTACGTCTTTGCTACGTCACCACATCATCACGTCTTTGCTACGTCACCACATCATCACTTTCTTTGCTACGTCACCACATCATCACGTCTTTGCTACGTCACCACCTCATCACGTCTTTGCTACGTCACCACATCATCACGTCTTTTCTACGTCACCACATCATCACGTCTTTGCTACGTCGCCACATCATCGCGTCTTTGCTACGTCACCACATCATCACGTCTTTGCTACGTCATCACATTATCACGTCTTTGCTACGTCACCACATTATCACGTCTTTGCTAAGTCACCACATCATCACGTCTTTGCAACGTCATCACATCATCACGTTTTTTCTACGCCACCACATCATCACGTCTTTGCTACGTCACCACATCATCACTTTCTTTGCTACGTCACCACATCATCACGTCTTTGCTACGTCACCACATCATCACGTCTTTGCCATGTCAACACATCATCACGTCTTTGCCACGTCAACACATCATCACGTCTTTGCCACGTCAACACATCATCACGTCTTTGCCACGTCACCACATCATCACGTCTTTGCCACGTCACCACATCATCACGTCTTTGCCACGTCACCACATCATCACGTCTTTGCCACGTCACCACATCATCAC